AAGAAGCTTACAAAGAAATTTGAAAGAAGCTGTGTTGTAACTATTACTGGGTTGGAAATTAGGAACCTGTATAATGTTTATTTTAAAGGGTTTGTATTAAAAGTAGATCTTCTCAAAAGGCTGCCCTGGTTCAATCGATGAATAAATCAGACAACCACATCAGTCAACCCATCAATTTCATTGTCTGTATCATAGTTCACTTGGTGGTTTTCAGATCTTAAATCCTTTTTTATTGTATGTTGGTGTTGTTTAATGACACAATACTATGCAATTTTTTTGCCATTAGGCTGAAACCTTCACCCTCTAATGCTTGCTCTTACCTGGGTGGAGATATCATTATTGTCATGAAAAAAAAAGGAACAGATGCTCACCTCTGGATAAAAGCTTTTATCCCTCCTTAAATTTTTGAGGTGTTGTGATGCTACTTTTTTCTCTTCGTACACAGCAGTTAATAAAAACAGCACAGATGGCTCTGCTGCCAAACAAACAACAACTAAGCCCCCAGTCCTACTTCCAGATCTATTCACTAATCTGTGCTGTTGGAGCTGTTTTGCGATTATTTTTGTCTGTTGGGCTGGGGCTGAGAGACTGCCAGCATTTCAATATGTGCTCAGAAAAGAGCTGCCACCTAACAGCTCCTAGGAGCTACAGCTGAGTGGCCTGACAGGGAAACACATGTGCTCTGAGCCCAAATCGACTTCTATAATCGAGACATCACAAGTTCAAATCTCGGTCGTGTCACTAGCCAACTATGACTGTGATTTACCATGCGGTAACTCACAATTGGCTCATGGCATTGGGGGTGGAGATTGGGATTAGTCAATCATGGCTCTCTCAGATCCCCGAAAAACTCTGACCCTTGCTAGTTACTGAACATTTATAATCGTGTAGTGAAGTTAGAGTGGGAAGCATTTCTTCAATTATTTCTGAATGTATTGTATGGTGTGACACACCCAGAATTGTAGCAGATATCATCTCAAATATCTCAGAGATTAACATAATTAGTATAGGAATGTTTGGGGCCCATTTGAGACATACCTGAATGGCAGAATCCTCCAAAGTTGGGGGGGTGGAGGTGTCTTAAAAAAAAGATATCTCAGAGATCTGATCTGATAGAACAATGTCATATCTGACATCAATTCTGCGAACAATCTTTGTGTCCAACAAAGGTATGCACTAACGTTATTTTCCCACACTCTTCCCCAATCACATGTCCTGCACGTACAGTATCAGGCATTATCAATCTCTCTGAGATAGAATCTGCTGCTCTACATTGAGCAAAACACAATACCACTTGACAGGAACCTTTGAGGGCATTCTGGCTCACCTTGGATTATTTTTTCAATGACTATTTATGTTATTTTAATAATATGTCCTTTGGAAGTTTTCAGACATTGCTGGAAATATTCCAGTGATTTGCTTTTCAAGTGAATGCGTTTTGTTTCCAAGTGCTATAGCTTCAATGGTTTCATACTGAACATACAATTACTTTGAACGTAAACTAATACTTAAGGTATTTCTCCGAATAGTTCCTCAGTTTTCTCTCTTTTCTATTTGCCTTGGGTTTCTTGAACATCTGCTTTTTCTTTTGTTACACTGGTCAAATGAGGTAGAGTGCTCAGCAGGGTTCCTGATTAAGACACAACCCATTATCCCCTTAGCTTTTGTCCTTCGTTTTGCCTCGTATAGTATTCACATGTGATAATACAGTGAACAGTGAACATGACCAATCGCACTGACCAGATGTTGCTGCACATTGATTGGTTGAGGCAGAGACGGTGATCACTGAAGCTTTGTACGATAAAGTGGTGAATGCATGACTTAGCATGTTAGCATGAGTTAGAGGTACATCGTAAAATGTATTACAATACTGTATATAGAGTAATTATTTTTTCCTTCCAGAACATTTTGACTTGCAAAAATATTTTTCTACAGATTCCTTGCTGTACCACTGCTGACCCTCATTTGAAGATCTCTGTTTCACTGTGTTTCTTAGAATAATATAAACACAAAATAGTAATTTAGTGTGGATAAACCCCTGCAATTAAGAATTAAAGAAATCAAGTGAAGTTACAGTTTTAAAATAAATGCTGTCTTTTGTGTGTCACCCAGGCTTATTTAAGGTATGGAACAATCTACAATTAATATTCTTTGATTAAATACAATAATTATAAAGATTAAATGTATTAATAGGAGCCGTCACTCTGCACTTTTCCTGTGGAACATTTTGCTAGCAAATAATTCACTGTAGAATGGTTATTTTATAGTTTGTGTGATCATGCACTTTATCTGTCTTGACCTGGGTCAACTCACATCTGGAAATGGGTCACTGCCAAATCAAGTACACGGTATCCAACTTGAACAAAATTGAACTGCTGGTAATGACCCAGTTTAGACTGTCAATGTGAAAGTCCCTGCTGAAAATTACACTGCAGTACTGACTAACAGACTGCAAAAGACAATTTGTCAGTCATCCTTGTTCTTAAAGTGATTTTTTGTCTTCAGTGAAGTAAAATCCTAAGAGATCAGTGTGTTAGATATGCAGAGCAAAAATAAGAAGAGTAAGACACTGTATTTGATGTTGCTGGAAAATAAAGAAATGACCTTTCTGTCACTCCTGAGTGTGGACACTCTGGAATATACTGTACAATATGCATGTGATTTTCAGCATTTCTGTGTTTCAACATTTATGTCTCTACAAAATGCAAAAATATGTACCAATCACATTTAAAAATCTGTCAAAAGTAACTTTTAAATAGAAAAAAAAACAGCTTACCATTTTTTCTTGAGAAATGTCACATTTTTGTAATGATGTGATTGTGCCGCTATGTTTAAGCTTGATTGCCAGTCCTTTTAAAATGTCAATTATGGTTTTAAGATAATTATGGCAACAGAAAATTTGAGAATAATTATGCTAGCAGCAGGGAGAAAAACAGAGAGGGGCATGAAAATGTTTTTTAAAGGATGATTTTTAAAGATGTTGTCCGGGAAAATTGGAGATGAACATTACAAACATCAGGGAGATATTCTCCACCTTTAACCCCACTCCCCTCCCCATGCCAAGAAGAAGACAAAGAAGGGCTAAATATGAGAAGCAAAAAAACACTTTTTGACCTTAGTAAATATACAGTAGTAAACATACTGTAGCTCCAGAAAAAATACTGAATCTGTTCTTTCTCGAAATTACCAGTATGACTAATATAAAATGAATGCATATATACTGTAACATTGATCCCTGTGATGAGTTATCCAAGCTATCAAAAATACAGTCTACAAAAGAGAGCAATTTTAATGTTGTTTCAACAAATTATAGTAAATATAATTTACTATATAGTAAGAAAAAAAGGATTTCAAGAAACATAAGCCTTTGTCTTTTAACTAGTTCCAGTTCAGTTCAATTGTAGTGCATTTGCAATACAGCTTCTCACGTATTATATAGCTCTTTAGAGAGAGTTTTGGATGGGTAGAAATACAAATACATTTTTTTACATTTTTAATGTATTGTCAAAGCACAAGGAAGTCATCTAGTGGATACTTTCAACACCATAGACCAGCTCTGAAGATCTTTAAAAATTATTCGTACAATATAATTTCTCACTCTCGTACGAAAAGACTTTGCCAAGCAGAAGTACAAAAATAACTTGATAAAGAAACAAACTCTTATTTTTCATAATTGTGGCTTTTTGTTGCAGCAAGTGGTGAAACATGTTTTTTGTTGTTTAATTTAACCTAGCTTATAATTGGTGAGCCTACTCTGAGAAGACACTGAATTGAATTTATCATTAGAAATAATTTTTAAAGATTTGAGCTTTTTAATTTTTTGTTGTACTTCCAGGCTCAATAAAATCAAATTATCTTTACAATTAGAGAATTATAGCACTGAAAATGTTAAGTTATTCATAGAGTGGATATCTTATGGTTTGAGTTTTGATGGCATAATTTATCTCAGCCACATTTAGTTACAGTACCTGCTAACTCTTTCATCAATATTCTGTACATGTATCACTGGATTTAGAGAAGATCATATAGATTTAGACATGATTTATTTTGCTACGTTTTCAGCATTTGGTGAACTAAAGATTCTTCCTCACTGTTCAAATGTCATTCTTGCCTGAATTGGAATCTGAAATTGTAGGGATTTTGGAATATTATTTTTTCCAAATGTCATAGTATTTTTAAGAAGACTTTAAAGATGGAACCTCCTATAGTACAATATCCCAGGTCACCATTACTGGGACATTTATTAAATTAAATCCTAGTACTGTATATAAAGATATAAAGAAAAGTAATGTATATTAAAGTATATAATTTAGCTTTTAGCTAAAAAAAGGTCTAAAAGAAAAAAAAGACAGCCTTTGATTTGAAAACAGAAAGAAAAACTTTGAACACTACAAAAATAATTATTATTGAAGGGCAGACAGCTGCACATACAGTCCTGTAATACTCAAGAGGAGATTTTAAAGCAGGAGAGACGTCTTATCTTGCTCTTTATTGCAGTTGTATCATTTTGTAGAGGTAACAAAACAATATTTGCTATACAACCTGACTTTTTTTTTGTTTTTTTTTTACTAGTTAAACAAAAAAAGGGTCTTTGTTTTTCTTGCTCCTGAAACAGGGGTTGGAGCTGTAAACTGGAATGGAGAGGACAGTAGTTGAAACTCATCCCCTCAATCCCATAATACTCATCTCCTCAATGAGATCTAAAAGATGAGTACTTCAATACCCAGTTCATGTCAGGCCACATCCTCCCCTCCTACACAGGGGGGGCTTTAAAGTCTCAGGAAATAAAACTTATGTCTGTTCAGATTTGGAGTGTTGCTTACCATGCACTGTTGATCTTTTTGGAAACTAGTTGCTGGTATGTCGGGGCCTATGTGAAGTGTAGAATTCAAATTTCAAAATACTATGGAAAGGTCAGCCACAAAGAAGGAAGTTACTGTTGCTGAGAGACATTGAGTTTCACCTCGCTAGACCTGGGTGTTTGTTTGCGTCTTCCCCAGGTGCAACATCGATGACAAAGTGACCCACAAGGCCTGGCTGAACCGCTCCAACATCCTCTTCACGGGAAACGACAAGTGGTCCCTAGACTCCCGCGTGACACTCATCAATAACAACAAGAGTGAGTTCTCCATCCAGATCGACCGAGTCACCGTTTATGATGAAGGACCTTACACGTGCAGCTTCCAGGCCCGCGACGAGCCCCGGACGGCTCACGTCTACCTCATCGTACAAGGTCAGCGAACAGGTCAAGGGCCCGTCAGAAAATCTCCCGCTTCCTAACTTTTTGTCTTTGCAGGTGCATTTATTTCGTAACGAGAAATGTTAGAACTATTTTTCCATTTCAAATTCTGCATTGCTTCAGTGAAGGGGCATGGGTTTGGCATAGTTCACTGGGTCCTGGGTTTAGTTGTGGACAAGACTGTGTGCAGCATTTATATGCATTTGAATGGGTTTTTGCCAGGCGCACACATACACATTTGTGTATATAAAGACATTAGAGGGTAATCTGTGCCTCTAAATTGGTACTATGTGTCAGTGAGTGAGTTATAAGGTATAAGAAGACACCAGGTTGTTATGATCTGTAGGAGTTATGCTAATAGATGGAAGGAGAGATCATTATCACTTGATGAACATTAAAATCTAACTATTCTGATTGAAATATGTTTTGTTTTATAGAGATCTTGGCTGACCTCTTGCTAGAATACCACATCAGAGACCCAAAATGCATGTTAAACAAATTAGAAAGGGAAAAGAATTTGATTTGGAAACTATGAATGATTTAAACCTATTTTATATCTAACAAAGGCGGTTTTAACCTTGTATTAATATAATAAAAGATTTCAAAGAGAGGAGACAAACCAATCCCATCGTACCTGTTTGACCTGCCAATAGTTTAGCGGTGTAAGGACCTTTTCATGCCATTTCTTTAAGGATCCTGGGGAATGTGCTGGAACGGCAAGGCTGGATAACTTTTTCGATTAGCTTCCTTTAAGTCAGTGGTGCACAATTCCAGTCCTGGAGGACCACACTGATTTTCATTCCACCTCTGGTCCTAATGACATACTGGCGCTTATCATTAGCTTAACTGGACCAGTTTCACCCTCTTTAAAGGCCAATAATGCAAGCTGGAGTTTGTACCTTGAGGACTGGATTTGTGCAGCTATGTTGCAAGTTAATTGATTTCCCGTTTGGTGAAATACAATATTGTATTGTTTGTATTCTGCATGTCTCTGACGCTATCTTGAGAGTTAACAGTACAAAGAGATGGTAACACTAGTAATCTGGGGTTTACTGTAAATTGTCAAATATGATTATGGTGAGTTTGCATTTATATATTTGCAAGCATACTAACAGAAAAGGTGTTTTTTTTGGCTGTGCTACATTACAATGTGAACTGTGAAGCAGACGTTGGACTCCTGTACATCAGGGATGGGCTACGCTTATTACAGTGCCTTAGCAATTTTGTTTTTTGAAAACTGTTGTTGTACATAATTGAACTAATTATGTGAAAAACCCACCTCACAGTTTTGTGGGGTGGGTAGGTATGGTAAGGTGATTCAATCAGTTTGTAGTTGAAGAGTAAATCTTCGGCATACTGTAAATGCTGAAACCTACAGTATTTCACTACAGCTCTTAAATATTGGATGTGCCCATTCCTGCTACTGTATAAATGATTATGATGTGCACTGTGCCTAGTTGTAGCAGGACTGGTTCTTTGATATTATGAGTTCAGAACTGTACTTTAGAGGTGAGTAATGGGCAGGCATGAAAATGCAGACACTGACATTCTTATTGTATAGACATTCCTTGACAATTCATTCTTGAACTTTATCATTCTAAGGCCAGTGAAGCCAATTCCCAGTACACTTTTGCCATCCATTCTTCTGTAGTTCTATAGGCACTGTACAAATATTAGAGTGTTTTTTTTACTGGTATATTTGCATTTTGTTTAATGAGGAGATCACATTACCATTATAATTGCAGCATACTGTATATTTCACCAGATTGCAAAACATTAACAATTTTGCTGTATGGCCTGCTTAAATGTTGGGTATCCCACTAGGATGAGTGTTTCCTCTAATTTTGCACTTATGGCATTCTTAAGCATCTTGCTTATCTGTCAAGAAAACTATAGTAGGAATCCTAGCTTGCCTGCTGCTAGGATTCAAAGTACTTGATGTGCTATATTTTATACCTATTAAAAATCAAAGCAAAAATATTCCTGAGCTACAGTATCTGGTTTGCGCTCTTTCTATACTTTGTACATTTTGATCTTCATTTTACAAACATCTTTTTATGTGGAGCACCTGAAACTCTCTAGAGTCTTGGATCTTGCTTTGGTTCCATCTCAGCATTTGTTTATTTATTTAGATTAATTACACGGTGCTCTCAAGCTTTAAAGGGCAAAGTTTAATTGCTTTATAAATTTCTATGCCTTTGAAAGACCTCAAAGCTGAATGTGAGGAAACAACATTGAGAAGCACATCAGCATTGCACCAATAGTGCTTTGCCAATAGGCAGAAAGCTAATGATGCAACACTAATTGCATTCCTCTGCACACTTTCTGGCTTAGGCATCCAAGATCCTTTTCAGTCTTTGGAGGAGTAGTTAATTATCATAGAGAATAACAATTTTAACATAAAGAACAACAAAGTAGAAAAAAGAGGAGTGTAACAGGATACAGCAGAGATGCATTCAGACTCAGTCAACAACATGATGCTTTTATGGCATTTATTGCAGCTTAAAGAGGGGTTGCACGCATATCAGAATAGTGAAAAACATCCCCTGCGCTTTAGATATCTTTTAAAAGCTATGCCACTGCTACCTACCATTTTTATGGTATTCATTTTCCAAAGTTAATTACAGTTGATTACAAGCAATGATACATTAATCCTTCTTCAGCACATCTTTCAGGAAATAGGTGGTGCCAGGCATTTTGTGAGATCTTTATAAACTTATTTTTGCAGAAATGGCATGTTAATTTTCTTACATAAATGTCAAATATATCACCAACAGTGCAAGAACCAAAATGTTGAAAAACACAATGTATTGTCTTCTAAGTGCAGTCTAACCATTTTCAGAAACTCATGTTGAGGGTAATTCATTTTCATCAGGGTCAGATTCATCATTTTATTTTGCATGCAAACATCTTAGCATTTTTCAATTGAATAACTGATCTTATTTTGAGTTTGCAACCATCCATCCTTCTGTAATACCTACTCTTTTCAGAGCATCAGTTGCTAATTTGTTTTCACAATTTGTATAATTTGTTTTTAAGATTCCCCCATGGAAAATGAGAACACAGTGGATAAGATCAGCTACAACCTACACAAACATTAAAACATATTGTACTAGTACTGACCTCAAAACTCTCAAATGACTGTTGCCATTTGTTGACGTTTGTCAAAACGGTCTGAAGTACAGTATTTATTGTTCAAGTGGTTTCAACCTCAGGTTTGTTAGACCTGTCGTATGATTATGATGAAATAACATATACTGTATCTGTCAGTTTTTGAAGATCCTGTATAAGTACATTGAACATGAACATTACTGTGAGTCCAATAATGATTCAGATCTTTTTTATTCTTGTTTTCAGTTCCAGCAAAAATTATCAATATCTCCAAGGATATATCGGTGAATGAGGGAAGCAATGTCAACCTTTTCTGTCTGGCTATTGGTAGACCAGAGCCCACAGTGACATGGAGACACCTTAAATGTAAGTTGCCAATTAAACAAACAGAGGGAGGAAGAATTTAGTGATGCTTGGGGTTGCTGGTTCATTTTTAAGTTCATAGTAATTGCTTCACTTTTGACTCAAGTGTTTTTTACATCTCTTAAACAGCCTTCAAGGATCTACAGATCTTTACTTACTGCTACAGATCCTGAACTGTATTTGGATAAAGAGGACTTTTGCATGCAGTCCTCCAACACGCCCTCTTGTCAGAATTGTTAGGTATTTGATAATCTGTGAGTTCCATGCTGCTTTACAGGAGAGTTAGTAGGGACTAGAGGGTAAGAGCTTCTTCTATAAATGGCACTGCACACTTACAGGAGCCTGACAGATCTCCATAATTGCTGTTGCACAAAAAATCAATTTTGATTTTACAATACATTTTTTAATTTTCTTTTATGTTTTAAAAAGTTGAATTAGATTTGTAAGTGGCCTCAACCAGTTTTCTAGTTCAGGTGTGTTACCTAAAACATACTATAGGCCAATAGGAAAAAAATATTGTCCTGTCTGTGTATGTTCATAATAAATTGATCACCTATTAGGTTGTGTAGGGTACAAACTTTTAATGGATAAGTTAAACAGAGACTGATGAATTCCTGAATGTTCAAGTTGTTAGAAACAATATGCTGTAACTAGGACTAAGTTCAGGAAGAGGTAAACTAATAGATCAATAAAAGACATCAATTAGTACTGATGATTAAAAGCTCAGTTGGAAGGAAAACCAGCCAACACAGGGATCCCAAAGGATAAGGGTTGGGATCCGCTGGCTTATTGAGTTCTTTCAATCAACAGTGGTGGTGTTCAGGCACTCAAGAGCTCATGTCCACTGGGAACCCAAAGTGCACCTTGGATTTGAATCAACTACCTTCATTCTAAAAGAGGTCAACCTGGAAACCAAGAGGAATATATTGCCTGATTTTTTAATATTGAGAAAGAAACACTTTATATGGAATAAAAAACAACATATCCCATGAAGCTAAAGGCATACACTGATTGTCAAGAGTGGGGTAGAAAGAAATGTTACCCATTGGGCTAAAACCCAAAACACATTTTGCCCAGTATCATTGATGCAAAGGAACATCAACAGATAATAGAAAAATTCAGAAAAAATAACACATCGTACATCATCTCATCTTAGTACTGAGTGACTTTACATTTAGCATAACTGAATTACAGTATTAGGAGGCCTGAAAGCACAAGAATCAGAAAAATAGGGCCAGATGGTACAGTATATACAGTATATCGTTAAAGTATATGAACGATATTGTAAAGAATTCACTGACACAAATCTTCTGGTACATGATAAAATAAGTTGAAAGCTCTGTTAAAAAGTGTTATATTCTTGTTAATTAAGTGACATTTAAGGGATAGGAAGAGGACTGTCAAAATGGAGTGGGATGCCACATGGTTCAATGTTTCAATCCATATCAATGATCTAGACCAAGACTTAATTAAAGTCCACAACATTTATTGATATCTATTTTGTATTCTTGTATTTTCAGACTTTTCCCCATCTACAGTATTACAAATGATTAAAAACATATGTTGCAAAATGGTCAAACTTTAGATGTAATGTTTTACAAGTTGCAAAGTCACATCTTCATTTCATTCAAAGTTAATACAGGAAAACTTGCTCCCTTGACTGTAAAAAAATCTTTTGTCTTTATTCATATTAACACAAACTGCCCGAAAGAAAGTATAGCCATTAATGCTAATTAGAGATAACAAAATTAAACATAGGGATTCTGCCTGAATGCCTAATTACTTTTATCAGATCCTAATCAATATTCTATTTAAAATTGCTTAGTGTGTTATTAAGGTCATTGTTCTTTTTTATGTTAGAGAAAGAAAGAGAAATTAGATTTTGTTCAATATTCAGCCCAAACTTGAATATGTATTTGTTTTTTTATTTTCTGTCTTTGGAATGTGGACTTTTACTGCATAATACTTCACAAAACAAAATTTAAAAGTCAGATGAACAGAAAAAGATGTTTGTTCTAATTAGAACAAGAAAAATATTTTGAAACTGGGTCTTTGTTCCATAAACCTCACTGTGTGGTATTTGTCTTGTTGTCATCATTCTTCACTTGACTGATCTTCAATCTTTCAGAGAGAATAACTCTGGGGTCTCCTGCCTCTGCCCAATCTATCACAGTAATAGGCACGAAATGGGATTTATGGCTTGTTGACCCCCCCATGCACACACACTGCCCAAACCATGATAGCACAGGCTAAAGAGATTTGAGCTTTACAATGTCACACTAACTGCAGCCCACTGTAATCCCACATGTGCTACACCAGGAAAACATTGGTGTTCTTTGCATCTTCACAAAAGTCAATACTGATTCTGAAGAGAAATCAATGAATGAAAAACTTTGCCTGTTTTGTTTTTAATTAGAGCAGAGGAGAGGGGATTTGGTGGTACACAATTATTTTGTAATATTCAAATCCTTCTTTAGATGTTTGACATCTACTTTCCAAAAATTTCAAAACAATACTGTAATACTGTAAATACATATTTAGAAACAGTCTAAACCATGGATGAGGAACCAATAGTTGATGATTGGTGATGTGTAGAAAAAATGCACTTCAGAAATAAGTAGCGAATCAGTGAATACCAAATCACTTTTCTTATTTTTTGAAGAAAACAATGCAGTTAAAAGCATTAATATTAAGAGCTCCAAGGTGTTTGCCAAGTAATGTTTGCAGCTTGAGTACTGTAGTCCAGACACCAGCATTTCAAATTTGGGCTATGTCATTTGGAAATAGTCCAGACTTGGTCTGCACTGAGATTGGGATTTCCCCAGTTTTGGTACAGTACTTAGCAGAGCCGTGTTAGGATGGTCTTATATTAAAATTATATTAATAAAAAACATCGCCCAAAATGTACAAAACATTACAGTGCAACACACCAAAAAACAGCATATTATAAATCAAAAACATTTTGATGTAATTAATGAGGTGGTGTGGCCAAAGTGTGGCTTCTGCGTCTTAAAGAAAAACCCAGTGAAGATTGTCATGAGAAGTCATATTTTGAAGTCACTCAAATCACTACTGGCTACTTTTTCTGTTTTTATGTGTTTATTTGCTTTTACTTTGTAAAGCATCTATGTATGTTATATTTTTATTATCAAAGTCTAAATAAATAAATCTGTTTGATCATTACAATTTAATCATAATTCTGTATACTGTATTAAGTTAAAAAATTAGAAATTCTATTAGTGTTGTACGGTATTGTGACATACAGTATCGGAGTTGTGCGTAATCATTCTGTTTAATTAAATTTTGTGTCTAGTACAGTTTGCATACTATGCAGCATAATTACTAATGGGTTCATAAACTTTTCATTTTTATTAGTAAAATAAGATTTGACTGACTACCATATTCAGCAGCTTTCTTTAAGGATTCACTGCGCCACCTGGCTATTTTACAGAGTAGTGTAGTCCTGCATCAGATTATGTGAAAAAATTAAAACGTCAAGAAATGATGCTGTCCATTTTGCCACGGCATTTGTTGCATTATACCGCCTGACATCTCACACATTTTAAGTGGCTGCATTCGGAAATTAGCTTTCTTTAGAGATTTTAATTGGGGAGTAAAATCAGGATTATTGCTAGAAGAATAATATGAATTTAATGCAAAGAAGCACAAATCTGCCTTGATTTTTTAATGTCAAGAATTATTTTATTCTACAAAAATGATCATTTGGATTTAGGATTTGTACCAATCCTTGTGACAAATAATAATAACCTGAAACATAGAAAAAAACTGAATATGGATAAGGAGGGCTCAGGCAATTTTTGAGTTAAATCAAATTTCTCTGCATTTTCATGACATTTTTTCTGCATCTTCTGGACAGTCTGAAAAAGAAGCTTGTCAAATTTGGATCATTTTTAGCCTTGCTGGGTAAAGAAGAAAACTCTTGTCCATTTCAGAGTAAACCTTTTTGGACAGAAACAAAAACCTTTTCGGTGTTGAGCTGCGAATGATGGATAATCAGAGAAAATGACAAAGAATATCCATCACTTCGAGGTGAAGAGTTCATTTTTTCTGTGTGCCTGGAGATTGTTTTTCCCTGTATATATATTTGAAGACTTTAAATATGAATGTTTGTTGTTTCTTCTTCCATGGATTACAGACAGTATTCTTTTGGTACTTTTGATTTAAATACACCAAGCAGAGGACAGAGGTTAGAGTCATTTCAGTAGACCCCTGAATGAATTTGATCATCCTTTTGACCCACCTCAGACATCCCAGTGCACAGATGATCACGTATGAAGATTGGATCTACAATTTTACATCTTTAATGTAGACTTTGATCCTCTTTATTTCATTTTCCCTATCTCCAGATATAACATCTTTGAAGAGAGCAGTGTATTACATAGTTCAAACAGACTGATTGATTAATGATTAGTTGCAGGGAAACAGAGGTATCAGAGACATCTAGTTCCCCATTTTCTGGGCTTAGAAGCTATAGCTTTTTACCTTGTTTGGATTTATTGTCTCTGGATTTGAGAACAGAATAGAGGGTCTTCTGGTTCTATGGCAATTGCATCTATATTATTTACAGGAAGTGACACTGTAGGAATGGAACTTAAATGCCATCGGTTGTTCCTGTTGCGAAGCGCCTTCATCAAAGTCTCGTGTTCCCCTTTTCCTTTCAATTTGACAAAGAATTGGGCATTGAGAGGCAGAGCATCTGAACTATGCCACCATTGACTGTACATCAAAATCAGTGGAATACTAGCAATCTGTCATCCCTATAAAAAGACAGCATATTCGCAATACCTCCATTGTGATTTATCTTATTCCTTTGAGTCTTTGGTAATTAAAATCTTATTTTAAAGAAGGAAAAACTACAAGTGTACTATAAAGCTTGAATATATTTATTGATTATCTTTACCTTCAGACTACACTTTAATTTTAAATTAATCAAAATTAAAAAAAAACAATTTGCTAAGCTACCAATTCACTTAATATGAAAATGCAGACCTGAACAGGAACATCATTAGTCTTATTTTTGATTGGGGTATTCAAAATCCTGAAATGACCTGATTAAAAAAAATAATGACATTAAATTCAACACACAGCAGAACCAGAGAACACAAATAGTAATTAAACAAGAATATATGTGGAATTAATATTAAGCTATGCTCTTGTAATGATTTCATGAAAAAAACATCCTCAAAAACTATGTTGTAGAAGTGGATTTCCTTAGATCCTCTGAGACACTGTTTGATGAGGTTTGCGAATCCCTAAGCTTTTAGCAGCTATGCAAGCAGAAAACACATTTTGACTGTTGAAACACCAGCAAAGGGGTCATGCTTTCAAGCTCATAAAAATAAAAAATTTAGAAATGTTAGAAAATGTGTCATGTTTGCATTCCTGGTAATTATATGTGAAACTAATCGCTATATAAAATTAATATCCTTACAGTATATGACACTTTTATATGTTTGCATATACAGATAAATGTCACATATACATTATGGTGTTTAAGGTTTTAATTCCCAAGTTTATTAAAAGAATAGCACATCTGCATTTTCAATGAGGTAAAGAGCTGTTTACAATGGGTTTCATATTATTGTTGCCTGCTTGGGAAACTGAACAATAGATTGAATGTTGACTTGACTTGTTGTTCTTTAGCATTTCTGTCAATTGCAGGTACCGTACCAGCTGTTTCACAGACCTCAGATTCATCTGAAATATAGAAATTGAACCCTCTTCTCTGTGCTTCTAGATGGTCTTCTGAGCGAAGGGGAGTTTTTAGACATCACTGAGATCAAGAGACAACAAGCTGAAGAATATGAGTGCATCACAAACAATGGCGTCTCTGCTCCTGACACACGCAAAGTCCGCATCACCGTCAACTGTGAGTGTCAACTGAATCTATGATTCTTTACCTTGGCTTCTTCCCTAACCATGTCAAGGAAAGAAAGCTAGTTAAAAATGTCATATACTAACCAGAAACCTGAGGGACTGTCTAGACTTTGACTGCACTCCTCATGAATGAGATTAGATGTACAGTATGTAATTGTTAAAAAAAAGTCAAAAGATCCAGATAGCATGTATAACACAAGTATGTAGATTTCTCATAAATCTCCTAGTTTTTTTTTCTGGGCTGAAAAAAACATCATTCGTGATTCAAGGGACTTTTTGACAATATACTGTATTCTGTAGGTCAAAAATAAAGTGGAGAGAAGAGATGACATAGTGTTATATTATACAGTACAACATTACATCCTGAAAATATTCTAATGATTCTATGATTTCAGTCATACAGTAAAATGGAATAGTGGTGGAACACTCAATATTATGATTTTCATGCATTAGGTAGAGTGACTGGAGGAAGTGAGTCATGCCATCGTAGATGGGATATGACTGCTTCCTGTCAACTAGTTTGGTAAACCATTTGTTTAGTTATTGGAGGAATATGCCTGGATTATTACACCGGAACTCTCCACTCACACAAAAGAAAAAATGAGAAAAACAGATCTGACAAAGAAACTTTGGTGTGATGACAGCAGTGATCTAGGCTTGGAGTGCTGTTATTTAGCATTCTGAACTACCTTCTCTGAGTAATCAATTTTGGGCTCCATTTCTGAGTGAACACTCAATGCTTGGAAGCAGAGTCTTGGATGCATTGATCCAAGGTCTGGTTCTTTCCCTTAAATTGATTTTTGACAGGTGTCTGGAAAAAATCACTGTAAAAAGCAATGTTTAAATGAGATACATATTTTCTTTGACAGATCTGACCCTATTACAATTCACATCTACCCTCCTCTATAGAAAAAAAGCAAGAGTTTGGTGCCTTATTCACTATGCCAGTTTTTCCCAACTTGCAACTTGAATATAAAACCCACAAATGTAGCTTTTGCTTTTCAATTTGCTAACCTAAAAAGATAGGTCATAAACGTGCCAGTAATATTAGGACATCCTTTTTGGAAATGAGACAGACAATAGGACTAATGATTGCTATAAACAGAGAACAGAGGATGTATAATGTCCCACCCATCCATTTTCAATAACCTCTAAGGGTCAAAGTGAAGTTCTGTCTAATACACATTGAAGAGGTCCAATTCATAGCAGACACACACACATTCGCACATTCACACAAATACGATGACAAATCAGAGAAGCCAGTTAAGCTGGACACCATGTGCTTGGAACATTACAAGGAAACCAAAAGAAAACCCAAGAAGCCACATGAACATGGAAACCCCAGTCATGACGTAATCCAGGCTACAACTGAATTCATAACCCAGAAAATATGAAGGAGCAGCACTGTCATATGGCTATTTCATCCACTATATAATGAGTCCTCCCACAGTATTAAGATGAATTGTGACCAATCAAAATATTAATTCAAATTTATTGAATTAAGAGCATAAAGAAAAGGTAAGTAGATAAGTAGTTCAGGTATGAGGTGTTTAACCAAGATAGACCAAGAGGTATATGCTGTAAGGGGTCATTTTAACAATTCCATGCAATTTATACACATTACATGCCTGTCCTGCACTGTCCTATTATGATTTCCATACGGTTTGTGTGACTGTGTGTTGCTTCAACACATTATTACAGAATTATATTATCCAGAAACTACTGATAGATTTCCCCTATTATGTCCCAGTGCAAGATGTCTTTGCCTCTGTCTCCCTTAGACCCCCCAGTCATCACAGATGTGAAGAACATGCCTGCTCAGCTGGGGAAGACAGCTATTCTGCGGTGCGAGGCCATGTCTGTGCCTACTGCTAGCTTTGAGTGGTACAAGGATGAGAAAAGGTAAGACACAATGATACACACTTGACGTATCTAGATTTCCTGGCAATTTAGGAATTGTCCTGAGCTAGATAGATACCTACTGTATATACTGTATATCAAAATGGAAAGCCAACATTACCAAATGCGTATATTGAAGCAGTGCTCACTCTTGGCAATTTTGTGGATCGTTATAGCTTTTAGGGTAGCATGGAAGGGCCGAAGGTTCAGAAAAGAGCTGTAAAAGGAGTACTTTTCTGACAATTTGTCATTGGGTCAGAGTATAGTACTGTAGTTGTACCTTTTTTCCCTTGCTGACTAAATGTACCAAAAAGGAGTGTAAAACACTAAGCTTAACATGTTTTTGAACAAAATATTAAATTGTAAATTTAGAATGTAGGTAATGAGGAATCTTAGAGTTTTAAGAGCCCTGTTTTAATTGCACAAAAACAAAGTTGTTTCTGGATGGAAGCCTATGCCTTCAAGCCGCGGACATGGGTCTAGGGGTTACTCTGGGTGTCCGTCTTCCAATGCAGAGCCCTGGGCTTCAGAGGCACGAGGTTTAAATAATATACGGTGAAATCAGGGACAGGTGTAAGGGAAAATGAATCCAAAACACAAAAGGGTCAGAGCGCCCTCTAGGGGAGGGATGGCAATTGTGACAATTTGCTTACAATTTTATTAAGAAATTTGAGGCACTGCTTTCTAACCTTGGATCTATTTAGTTATTGTGCTGAATTGTAAAACTAAGCAAAAGTCTGGCATTGTAATACCATCTGAGCAACAAATGTTATGCTTTTAATGCTGTATATAGTGGTAACGTTGGCATCACATTCGTAGCATGAGTTGATAAATTGCTTTTCTTTAATGCTAATTTGCATGACTGCATATTGAACTTTGAAGTCCAGACCTCACCTGTTCCAGTCCGAACTATGCCTTTAATGTACAATTTATTTGGTATTTGCATTATTGTTATGGGTTTCGTTAATATCAGACTTTTATATTCAAATGGTGTAAAGATTTATTTTCTTCAAATGCCTTCATCTTACGAGATGCAGAAAAACCCCTCTTAATGATTATCTGCTAATAAGAGATTGTTTAACTTTTTCAGGCTTATGGAGCATGACAGCAACATGAAAATTCAGAATGAGAAGACACGCTCACTGCTCATGTTCACCAATGTGACAGCAAAGCACTTTGGGAATTACACCTGCTTTGCCTCCAACAGACTGGGCTCCTCTAACTCCAGCATGCTCTTGTTCAGTGAGTGACACAGTACAATATGGCTTTTGCAAATCACAGCCACATAATGTATAAGGGAACAACTGAAGTATAATCGACTTTTTTTAAAGGTTTTGTTTTTTTAAAAATGAACATTTGACCCCAATATTTGACTCTATCAAAGGTACAATTTAAATAATACAATTTGTGGTTTAAGAAAACAGAATCTACAATAGACTTTTATGTACAGTAAGTGTACTTACTTTGCTTTCATGCATAAGATATTTCCTTTTTATTTACTTTGTATCTTATTTTTTGTGGGCCCTGCTTCACAAGCACTTTCTTTCACCAAGAATCGTTTTCTGCATTTTTTACAAGACAAAACTTCCTAATTGAAGATTGCAATAATTTTAAAATTATAAAAAATGTGTTTAATTAGGACAATGTGCCCCACCCATTGTATTTAAGTGCTCTAATAATTTATCTCTTTTTGATGTCAGAATTTTCAGAAAGAAAACCTGTGAAATTTTGTTTTTTGCCAAGTATGACTGACACAGAGGCTAGTGTAATAAAGTGGATTGTGTTGATTGTGTTGTTAATTTAAAGTAATATTTTCTTCATCTCTCCCAGGACCTGGAGCAGCAAAAAACGGGGCTGCAGCATCAGATTTTGGGGTCTTCATGACAATGTGGTTCCTTTGGCCAGCACTCCTCGTTCTCCTATTGAAGATCTAAGTGTGACAAGTTGAATCTGAAGATATGAAACTACGAACCCATCACTGTGAACAAAAAATTATGCATTAATTCCAAGAGCCATTTCTTCATCGTCATTTTCTTCTCAAAAAAAGAGGCTCTTTCTCTCTTCCCTCTAATAACAACAACAACCATGATAACAGAAGTAAAATCTTTCCTCGTTTTCACTGACATTTAATCGGCCCAGTAAAGTTTATATCAGGCCAGCTCTGCTATTCACAGTGTGGTTGTGCATCTTGGGTACCTTTTAAACTATAGCCACACTAGACAACCTGATTGCTTCTCACAGCCTGAGAAGTGTTTTGAATTTATCTATAGGTCTATTATCTAGAGATTAGATAGTGAATTAATTAATTTTCTGTTGGAACAAATTTGACCAGTCATAAATATTGTAAACTGATGTGAGAGGCCCAGTCCACAATGCTTTTCCAAATAGATTGCAAGAACTTAACATTGTTATAGATTTGTGTAATAGAAGGGAATCTTTGACCTGATATGCAATTTTGATTTCATTGAGAATACTAAAGGATTTAGCATCAGATTCCCAACTTTTCCAGAACACAATTTAAAAATTTTAAAGGGACTAAATCTAAAAATGAAAAGGGAATAAATCTAAAATAAGCTGAAGTGAATTTCATGGTTGAAATATTATAAAATCTGCAATTTCATGAATGAAAGCTTTTATGCTGCCACATCTGATAAGATGTAATATAATGGAAATAAGGAAAGGTCAGAAAAGGCAATTCATTTAGCCTCTTTTCAAGTCAATTCATATAGTTAGAATAAGTAATTTATAATTATTAAGGAATGCAAACAAAAATGTTAGGTCATTCCATTGTAGCAACTAGTGCAAGTATGATTTCACAACTGTTAGAAACAGTGTTTTATTACAGCAGATTTCTAGCAGTGAGAGAAGGAGTGGAGCTACAGTATATGTGACATACTGTACAGTACCTAGCACCAGGCTTGAACATAGTGAACACAGAGCATAGTGCTGTGGTTGAATGCAGAGCTTGAGACAAAAGCTGTAAAAAAAATTAATAATCCAAGTACGGTACACCAATATGGAAGCTCTAGGACTATTTTCGGCTCCTGTAAGATGTCCTTTAGGCACCTAGCGTATTTAATATTATTAAAATTTAGAAATGAAGCTAAAACAAATAGTAAAGTGGACCAATTAAATATCTAAGAAAGAGGTGATCAAACAGTACTGAGATCTACCTCTTTCAAGACTTCAGTTCTGATGAATAGTTAATATGAGTTGAGCCAGTTAAGTCTTCACCCATTCATTTATAAAAAGGTTCCTTTAATTTTAAAGGCTTTGGCTTAGTTTTTTTTTAACTTTGCTCCCTTTCAAATTAACCCCAAATAATTTTTCCAAGTCTTGTTTACTTGGAAAACAAATACATAAATGTTCTCTGTTTGCGCCTATTGTAATTTTATCTTGAAATATTTGTGACTTCATAATCTGTGACGTTTTCAGAAAGCTACAGTAGGACTACTCCTACTGATTCCAGCAAACACGCATAGTCAGTTTCCAATCTGACAGAGTCATATTTCCACGTAAATTCTGTTACTTTTTGTGTCACTCAAGGAACACATTAATACTGGAGTTATTTACAAGAATACTATGGCATGTACAGTATTACAGTTTGTCTTATATTTCATTATAACTTTAAAATACAGTATGTGAGAGATGCAGGTTTTAATGCATTCCCAAATGATTTTGAAAATGAATAGGCTGGGTGGTATGGAAGAAAGTCCTATTTATGCCACTGATTGAGGGTTACCAAGTGACTCTACCAATAAAGGTGCTTTCCAAAGCACAGTGCTTGCCCAGATTATTCTTGTGTGTATAATACTAGCCTATCATTGGGATTCTGCAAGTGGCAAGGAATGACAAGCACAGCACAGGCCAGTAGGGATAGGAGCAGATGGCCAGGAGTCTCATGGCTCTAAGTGAAACAGTAACTGCTGTAACTTCCTGGGCACCCGTGGGCTTGTAATGAAGTCAAAGAGCCATGCACTGGACCTCCTAAGCTGCTTATTCTCCTGGAAGGCACCTTGGAGAATTTAGCACCTCAGAGTGAGAGGAGCATTTCTGTACAGCTCCTGTCCTCACTGTTCTAGTGTAGCACAGGTGCTGTGTGCCGTGACAAAAGGCAATGGTTGATATATAAAAACAAATGCAAAATAGTATTTTAAAAAAGTATCTAAAATGGCTCATTAATATGTCATCCATTAAATTCTTTAAAATCAAGCTGGGACGTTCCTGCTGAAATACCTAATATTTGAATGCAGATTTACTAAACTACTGTCAGATGTCCAGATTAATAATGGACTGTTCTTTGTAACTGTTCTTATGTTCTCATAGCACTACTCATTCAAATGATTTATAGTAAAAAGTTCACCTTATACTCTACTTGATAAAGTAGATGTAGTGGACTATGCTTGACAATGCAGTTTCCAATATAAATGATTTTGCTATGAATGTCTCAAACAGAGCTACTTTATTAAGAAGCTAAACTGAGTTCTAATTTTTCCTGAATATTTTTTTTAATGTAATGTATTAAAACACCAAAGGAACACCTTTTTTTTTCCCTGAGGGGATTTTAATCACAATTTTCAGATGAAACATCCTGCTCTGAAACTAGGCACCTGTCCAGACTGACATTTTTACTACGTCCGCAGAAGTTCCGCAAAGAAATGCGTTCTTGCTGTGGCACTGTCCACAGTGCTTACCACAAGCAGTGTGTGTGATTACTGAATTGAAGGAGATTTCAGAATTGGACTTAGAGTTCAAATCAAACAAAAGTTAAAAACATTGCTTTCCTATTTCTAAAGATACAAGTTGTTTCTGATTAATTGCAAGATAACAGATAACAGTACAAAGTGTCTAAGAAAACTACAGTAATTTCATTTTCCCAATGTGTGAGGGATTTTTTCCTGTTTAGCAATAGAGTGAATTTCAGCTGTTTTTTGTTTCATGAATGTATAGCAGTATCTTTTCCTGCTCTTTCTGTTCCCTTTCTAATGCTGTTTCATTGAGATCATAGTTAAACTATGATTAAGTAAAATGTAAATTATGAGGGACAAAAAACAACTGCATAAAGTGATTAATGTAACACTTCAAGATAACATGCTAAAAGGAGAAATGATATTTGATTCCTAGGCACAGCACGAGAAAAGCACGAGCTTGTTTATGGGAAATGTTTCAGTATGATTAAGTTTTGTCATTGATATGGTCTCTTAATTTTTTTATAGTGATAAAAAAAAATTCTTATCACATTATTATCACTTTTATCATATTTTCACTCTCACAGTGTATTCAGTTTCTCTTTTTTTTCTTCTAGCAGTTTTTTTTTTACTCAAAGTGAACATGAGTTTGTTTGTGATGAGTGTTTCAGTGATGTTTCCTATACAGTATATAGACAATAATGTTAAAGGAATAAGAATAAATAAAAGGGTTTTTATCAAGATTATGAAGAAGACAAAAAGCAAGAAATAAATACATTGAACTGGAGCAATATGTAATTGGACCCGTGTCACTCCTCAACTTTGTTTAGTTTGGTCCGTGTGAAATATGTTCAGTTAGGTACAGTGTAGTAAAACCTGACCTTAAAGTGATTTGTATTGCAACAATATACTCATATTATACCTTTCTGTAAAATAACTTTACTGATTAATCCATGTAATGAAAATCACATTTCCTAAAGCCCAATACATTCTGATCTGAAATGTATATCGTCCAAACACTTTGGACCCAGCAAGGTGAAACATTGAATCACACACTGATCTATTTATTTTAATTTCCTTGCTAAGTGAGGATGAGTTCTTTTTTCCCCAAATGTAAATATGTCACTCATGGGCGTATAAAGTATTTGATAAAACTGCTTTCATCACATAGCTTCTGTCATAACAGAATGTACCATAACATACCATATGTGCTGCTTGGGTGATCCACTGACTAACTTTGTTATAATCCTACTGTCCTGGTGTCTTATGTGTATCAACCTTAGTGCTATAAGGTGAACTACTATATATCTGGAATGTAAACTGTATATTAAAAGGAGCAAGAAAATATTATAAACCCAGAAAAAGAGCAACTGCAGATTACAAGCAATATTTCTAGCAATCCCATGTGATTAAATTATCTGTTGTTATGTTTTCTAGAATGTTCTGGTCTGGTCATTATTTATGCAGGACAGCCTCACAAACTACTACCATGTGATGAAAATGTCAAAATGTTAAAGTTGAATTCAGGAGCTAGAGGTGAAATCTAATTTATGTGACTGAGATGAAAACATAACAAGTTATGGAAATGTTCTGGATTTAACTCTTGGTTTGAGAGGATTTGGATAACTATTTGGATGTGGAGTTTACCATAAATGTATGAGAAACCAAACAGGCTGAAGGGTTCCTTCCTTCACAGGGGTACTAAGGTTTCTGGAGGGGTATTTTCTTGAAGAATGCTGGCATATGAAGTCTTAAGGGCCATATTTATACTGTAGAGAGGTATTGATTTGTGGGAAATGGGTCATGTCTTTCTACCAAATTTTCCTGTCAACTCCACATTTTGTAATGCTTTGAGACATTTCACCTTCCTTCCCATACAGCTTCACATCACATCTACACTGGACTTTTTTTACTGTCTAGTTTCGTATTCTAACCACATTGTTTATTTCCTGTTCGACATATCAGCCCCAATACTGAAGCTAAACAAAGGAAGTATGACAGAGTGTCTTAAAATCATTTGAGAACAGTGAGTCCCTCTTCATGATTTCAACCTCATTTCAGTGTGACCCTTTTTTAAGACTGTGCCTTGTTTCCAGTGGTGACACAGGTTACAACCTGGTTACAACCCAACTGAAATATTCTGTTGATTTCCATGAACTTTGTTGCCATGACAGCAGTTTGTTTTTGGACTTGAATTAAAGAATGGGAGAGAGGCTGAAGAAGAAAGAAGACCCTCTTCATAGGCATTTTATAATGGAGAGATGTCTAGCCTGGAAACAAGGCATTACCATTTGAAAAAATTATACTAGAATATCTGGTTTCATGGTTATTATTAAGTTCCACCAAGCCAGATTTATTTTAATTAAGGTATCACAGAGGGACTGTAGTCAGTCATATATCTTTGAAGCATGATTCTTTGATATCAAAATGGCATTGACTGTGTGCTTCCTTTGACATCATGTAATTATAACATTCTTGTGTACTTAAGATCTATTGAACATTATTTTTATCAGGTTAATTGGCAATATTTGTATATGTTTCATGAAAGATGGTTTTACACCATTTTTGTTCCACTTATTTGATGGATTATCCATATTAAGTGGGGCTGTTGACGTATTTAACTTTAACATCGTAAGCTGCTTCTTTTTTGTCTCCTTAAAAACGTGTAATTAATTAGATTTGAACCTTGGTGAAGGGATCTGTTTATCTGAATTCTAAAGTTCTGTTCAGAAAAAAAATAAGTTAACCTTTTTATGGTACTTTTGTGAAGTTGCATCACTTTTATGTGTACCATGCCCTTATTGAAAAGTTTGCTTTTACATCACCATGCCCAAAAGCACCTTCAAATTATTTTCCTTTATGAAAATTGTGAAAATTAACCGCTAAAGTCTTAGATTTTTCAGTAGGTTACAACAGTGAGCAGTTTGTGTTGGCGAGTTTAATTCATTCTAAAAGAACAAAGCCCCATTTGCCTATTGGATATGTATTTTGACTAAAGACACACATCTAAAGTACATTAATCCAAAAAGTAACAAATTCCTTTGCAGGAGACGAGGAGATTGTACTTGAGTTAGTGCATTGCAACATTTTCAACACAGACAAGAGGAAAACTGCACCCCTGAGCTATGCAGTTTTTTCAATCTAACTAGAAAAGTAAAAACAAACACAAGTTATCTCTGTAAATCAGAGAAACAAACATTAGTTGATATATCTGCTATGATGTCTATGCAATACTGGGTTGCCATCTTTGTTAAAAGCACAGTCAGAACTGTCCGATCGGCATATGTCATAGGAATCAATAGGCGAAGAGAGAGAAATCCAGTCAGCAGCATTAGCACATTAGTTTGATATTGACATCACCTTGGTACAGCAGAGTCAATGTTTCTGCTATCTTACCATAAGACATGTATTTTACCCACTGGAGTCTAACTACAGCTGATGTAGCTGATGATCCACTCTCAGCAGCTTTAAAATATTAATGGGTAGAATTTCTAAAAGCACAAGAGAAGGTTACATGGTCAGTGCTTTTATTCCACCCCAGAACCTCCCCTGTCATGCATCCTGTTTTGCAATGGAACATTTTTCATTGGAATGGAGTGGACCATTCGGATGCCTAATACCGAATCACGACACCCTTAAATTCCTAAGCGTCATGTACATAATGGCTAGCCATAAAAGATGTCATAATATCAATGTGGGTTAAAGCATGTAAATGTTATCAGCATATGGATTTTGAAAATCTGAGTCTTGTGTGGGGTATATTAGGGTTTCAAGGGGGGAGGGGTATTTGGGAGGGCTTCAGTGCAAATATTTCATATATTCATATGTAAGATCCCAGAAAATCTGAATAAAATCCTGGGAAAAAATGTGAGCCAGTGGTTTGAAGAGAGGAGATGTGATCAGTTAAGGCCACCTATGTGATATGTTTCCAATTTAAGACTAAAAGCAAATATAAGAGCCAACAGTTGTACTTCATAAAAAAATGTTAAAAATACAATGCTTTATTTTAGGGGCTGCAAATCATACTTTATAAAAGTAAAACACACAAATGTTAATACTGAAGTAGCCAATTCTGAACTCTTTACATACTGTATGATAAATAGCTTACTTAATGTACTGCAATTAACTGAACAAGTAATCCAAGAGTCACTTGCTACCAGATTATTGACAGACGTTTATATGATCTTTCAAATGGTATACTGAAAAAATCAAAATAATATACCAGTTAAAGCAACAAAACAGATCTGCTTTTCACAAGTGGTCACTTATAAGAAACTATGTCAGTATACCTCTTTATCTGCCCAAGTATTTACCACATTATCATTATCAGGTAACAGCTTAGATAAGTTTTTATTCACATTAGTTGCCTGACCATAATTCTATAACTGTGCCAGTTTCCACATTTTCTTTCATATACCAAATTGCTGTTGAAAATAGTATCCAAAAGGCATAGGAGTATAAATGATGCAGGAGCTGTAGTTCAGTGATACCACTAACACAGATGAGTACAAATGAGTACTTCTAAATCAGGACATACAGTATACAGTTGAACAATATCTGGGCTACGATCTCGGGGAACCAGCATCACATTTCAACTCATATGGCCATCAGGTTTAAATCGTAAAAGCAAAATTATTTTTATATCATTAGAAATGCGCTTCTGCATTTTTGTTTTAATTAGCAGTCTAGTATTAATTAATTTAGGATAATTAGCATTGATTAGCAATGAAAAAATGCAGCCTCGTTGACATTATTTTATAAATATATTGCACAACATTATAATTTATAAAGCAATGTTGCAAAGCAAACCTATTGATACCATGTATCTAGTGGTAATGGCTGACAACAAAACACGTAGACATAGAAACAAATAGACATATAAATAAAGATAGCTAATACTGTAGAGAGATTTAACTAATATGATACATTATCAAGTGAAGTTCAGCAAATCGACAGAGCTTTTTTTAGACCTGGTACTATGTATCAATGACAAGAAAGACTTGTGTCATACACAGAAAGGCCAACATTAGGTAGATAGATGGCGAATTACAGTAGGTACCGTACCTGTAGGTGCCTGTCATTATACAGGCTAAGTCTTTGCTGTCTGGCATTATATTTGTAATCAGGAAATAGATCAAGCAAGGGTTTATTGAACATTCCACTCACTCTACCTCTCTACAACTGTACCAATAAACTCACAGTTGAGAACTAATAAATTACGGATGAGAACGGCAAACATACTTTTCAAATAGGCTGGCAAAAACATTGGTTGAAAAATGATGTATTTATTTTTATATGAGTTTAAATTTGCCAGTTGTTTTTTTCCACTTTTGATACTGACCGATCTAAAATATCAAATCAACATGACTTACAGTATCACTGACCCACTCCCTGAGAAAATGCCCACTCCTGTATTTGAATCAATCAGTTCAGTTCTACGTGGGGTGTGATCATGTATTCAATTTATTTTTAATAACAATGATTGAAATACTTTTTCTTGGTACCCCTTTCAAGGCAAGGGTTGCTTAAGGGACAGCTTAATGGCATGATTGAGTTTACTAGTATTTATTTGAATTTGGCAGTCCTCACACCAGATTCCAATCTCCCCTCCTCCCTTGTCTTCTCAATTCCACAGCACCCTGGCTGGACTTAATGACTTGCTTTGAGTTCTTGGTCCTAGTCAGCCTGTGCCAAAGCCTGAATTTAAACTGGATTTAAACTGGCAGTCCTCCAGACTGTATCCCGGCTGTCCCTTGTTTACCTCGTTTACTAACTTTGAGGGCAAAAAGAGCACATAAATTAGGCACATAAGAGTTTGACATGATACATTTTCAATTAGGAAAAAAATGTTGTTATTATTTTTGAGTCTTTAGAACCGATGAGTTTAAAACTACATTGAGAAGTTTGCACCATCACTGTCATGGCAAACTGAGCTTAAGCTGGAACCATAAGAAATATACTGTTCACAAAAAAATTGCAAAGGTTATTATTAGAAAAATTCTAGATTTAATTTAAACGCCAAATAAAACTAGTTATCAGAAGCATGGGCGAAGGTTCTGACATTCTTCAGTTAATTCCAGACAATATAGAACAATAGCTCAGCAGCTGTTGCAGCGCTAAAGAATGGTTTGGCACCAAAAATAAGAGGACATATTGAAAAGTAAACAAATTATCTCAGTTTCATTTTCTTTGCTCTAATAAATCATGAATACAATAGATACAGGCAGCCCTATAAAAACAATAATTCCCCTAAAATAATTATTTATCTGTAGCTGTGAGAAGTTAGTCATTGTCATTAAAGATGTATATTAGAATTTAACTAATAATGATAAATCAATTGGATATGACTAACTGAATTCCATCCCTCTCTTTATCTTCTTTGGCCTTTTCCCACAAGGTTTTCATAAGTCAACCCAGCACAGACCCTCTGCTAAAAGCATCGCTATGTCAGGACGCATCAACCAGTCCGGAGATTCTGTATATCTATATGTGTGTGCGTGTATGTGTGCATCGTCTGGCTGTCCATTTCAGGCATGCTGGGTTCTAATCTTCCAGACCTGAGAGTTAATGTATCCAACTTCAAATGAACCATTGTCTTCCACATTGAAAAAAATCTGTGTTGTGAAGATCCTGTTTTTTTTTTCAAAATCCATGAAAAAAAAATAAACAGAACTTTGTTTTTAACATATTTCTCATGTCTGATTTTGCTGGAACCAACTGTTTGTTATTATTGCTTGAAGTCACCAATAGGGAAAGGACAAAACTGGAAGAGAATCTGAGCCAAAAAAGGAACATTTCGCAAAAGAACTCTTTTGCAAAGTGATTTGCAACATGGAGTCTCAGAAAGAAGACTGAAAAAGGGGAAATTACCAGATAAGATAAAAGGATATGAACATCCTGTGAAAATCTACCATATACTGTATATACTGGATTCCTGGATCAATGTCTCTATTTGAGAAAGGGATTTATTTTTTGTGCTTGTGAAGTATGGATATTTGTAGTAACAAATGTCACAATGAAATTGAAAGTGTTTTTTTTTTAATTCCCAAATCCTATTTGTTTTTTGTTTTTAAATTAGCAATTGTACTCATTCAAAACAAAACATTCAGACATACTTTATTAAATCTAAGCACCAAGAAAGATGTGGTTGATACTATAATTATTTTGTGGGTAGGAAAAAAGCACTAGCCGTATTAAATGTTTTTGGAATACAGCCCAAATGTTAAAAATTGTAAATGCTCAATTGTAAGGAAAATCTGACTATAAAAAAAACTGCCTGATGTCTCATTTCTACAAAGTAATGACAACTAGGTTGCAAACTATAGTACTAAATGCACCTAAAATTAATCAAGTAATTATAAGAGTACGTGATATAAGTCAGATACTGCAAACACTCATTTATTTAGGTCATTTGTCTTGCACAATATATACGCAACCTAATTTGTGGTGTATGCACTTATGATAAGTTCTCACCGTCGTCACTTTTAAAAAACAAAACCACATTCAGAAACTGCTTCCAGAAATTTCCGTTTTCAACATATTAAAGAAGTTAGAACAAATTAAGAAAGGCTTTGTTTAATCCTTGGAAGAGTTTAAGAACATTAGTAAAAAAGAGAACAGTTACGCACATAACCTCTGATCTAGTTCTAAGTGGTTTACAGGTAGTTCTGCCTCTGAAAGGACTTCTTCAGTTTGGAGACTGAGCCCGCTGTCATTTCTGGTTGATGTCACTTTGCCAGCTGTGACCAGGAAATCTCCAGCTAACATGGGTCAACAAGTATGGTCTTAGTAAGTCAGGGTCCTCTTTTCAGAGAATAATGAATTATAGGTAATTAAAGGTTGCAATGACATCAGTGAACGACGTGGCTTTTCTCCTATCAGCACTAATTCTACTGTCAGGCATTGTGGAGCTTTCTGAGTTTCAAAAGATGAGTGGCACAGACATGTCCCTCTTTCCAGACCAGGTATCTGAGGCCTACCACCTTATTATTTATTACACAGGCGTCTGAAGTCTACCTGCATCCAAACATCCAAAGCCTTGCATCCCAGAATGCCCAATTATGTCTACCCAGAACTGCTTAACTATTCACATCTCTGCTTTTCTTGAGAGCCTAATGACACAGCTTGCCCAGGATCTTCATTTTTTACAAAAAGGAAATGAAGCATGCTCTTATGCAAGTCGTGTTTGATATGCTTCAGTATTGCAGAATATTTCATTCCAAGGACAGAGATCTAAAAGCTCTCTCACTCACACACACATTCAGCAAATGTACAGTGCAGGATCTCGCAATTCATATAATGATAAAAATAGCTTAATTCATTCACATCCGAAATACTGTACATTTTATTTCAACAATCTTTTCTATAATCGGGTTAGTGGTGTTGCCCTGGACACTGACCAAACTATCCTAGTTGCTATGCAGGGTGAACAGAACCTGCTCCTTTTATGCTCCTACAGCATACAACTCTCCCTAGAAATTGACATGACTCCTTTTTTGACTCCTGAACATCTTTCAAATACCTGGGACTATACACATCAGTGTATTTGAAAGGTCTCTCTTTTACAACAGTTTCCATCCTAGACATACTAAAAGCTCTCTTCCTTTTTCAAAATGTCTCAGGCTTTCCCATTATTTACATCAATACACCCTCATACTGTAGATCACAAGACTGCTTTTGACTATGGTTTTGATTCTGTTGATCAGAAATGCTTTATACAGACAGCTGCATTCACATGGAAACAGAGTTCCTGAATGTCTCAAATTAGTACCCAAGATGCACTGGGCATGGCCGCACAATTGCTGTGAACCTGGTTCCTTTCACCAGTGGCCTGGATTTATCAGTGCACAATTCACGTGCTTGCTGTAAATCTGGACAACTATGGACAATGAGATGTTTATCAATCATACTCTACCTGCAATTTCCTACTTACAGTATAAAGGTTATGATTCTAAGCCAGTGAAATTGATTGACTTCAAAATCAAAGAATAACATGAAATGGTAATTTTAGTTTAACTTTAACTTCACATTAATAGAGTTACCTTATGGTGTTTAGTGTTACAGAAAAATTGATTAAACTAATTATTCTGTTCTTAACCAGAAAAAAAAAGTTATTTGCCAGTAACTGGTGCAGCATAGATTAGTGCTCCATCCACATTTAATACAGCAGTTCCTTGTTATCTCCAGATAAAAACACTGACAAAGGGCACAATGTGTCCAGTCACCATTTACTTGGATGTGGACTTATACAGCCACATCTGTGATGATATAATAGCAATAAGACCTGTTTATGCATATATTGCTATACACTTAGGCTGCCTCTGTCTAATATTATTGCATCACATTTGTCATAGCAGACAATGTGTTCGGTTTGGGAGAAGGTTGGAGTTAGGATTAAGTTTAGGGTTAGGGTTTTCATGAAAGCTGACTTTCAGAAATGTTAATAAAGGATTATGAATACCATTACAACATTATGATAGTGATATAAACCATTCAAATAGCCTGTGATGGATTTAAAAAGGTTTTTAAAGCACCTAGTTAAAAGACACCGACATAGAGGTTCCACTTATACTGTACATTATAATGCAGATTTTTATCCTTGAAGAAGGGTACACCCAGAAAGTTGTTAGACTTTGTTAGACATACTGTAGGTACTGAACATGCTAATTATGCTTACAGGAATACTGTACCTACAATAGCACATACTATTTCATACTGCATATCAAAACCTAAGTACAGTAAATGCGTGAGCAATTCAGACAAAAGAGCACAAGAGAGCGATGTTAGCTGCAGACCCAACCCAAAAACCCAGAAGCGAATAAAAGGTTCTCAACAAATGACCTTCCATAGGAAATCGTATGTTAATTTTTTTCACAGCAAAAATGGCATTAGTTATGCAATCATGCAACCAGAATGCGGCACATAGATTTACTGCCTGCACACATATGTGAATCGTTTCGCAAAGACAAGAAAGCAGATTGATGTGCACACAGACAATGCATTCTGTTTCATTGCAGTTCTACGTGAGGCATAGCATGGGACAAGTGCGTGTTTCCCAGTTCTGCACCTTCCTCCATATAGTGATTTTTTTAATGGCATTAAGTCCAGGTGAGTACTCTATACTGGACCACTCCATACTACGACTATTGTTTGTTTTAATCTTTGTGGGATCTGATTAAACTGAGAAAAGGTGCGAAGAGATTCATGTTAAGGTTATTTAGTGCATGTAACATCTGTGTGTGCTTGTGTAAGATTTATTTTTTTAATAAGATAAGAGAAATGAATAATGCTTGTAATACCTGAAATGGCTGTCCTTCTTTGTGTAGCATCGGAAGATGAAGTTACATTAGAGAAAGAAATTGAACTCAACAATTACTAACAACTTGTTCATACGTCATCAGGAATTCACTTCAATTTTGTTATTAAAGACAGGTGAATTAACAATTGAAAACCAATCAGAATTCTCAAGAGCAATTCTTCTGAATTTTCTTTTGAAATGAAATTATGCTCTCTGTACAGGGTTCTCTCTTAAACAGAGAAACAGAGCACAATTAGTCACGCAATAAATAATTTTAAATATAACACATTTAAATAAAATTGTTTATGTAATCAAGAACCATTGTTCTTAACTTTTACGTACTGAAGAAGTAACCTTCTAAAAATAAATCCAAAATACATTTAAGCAGCTTTAAACAACTGCAACAGAAGTAGAGTGCAATTTAACTTCTCTGTAAAGCTGGAAAAGCAAGAGCATTCTGCCCTCAAAGAATGCAGGAGATTTGGTTTCACCTGTGCTCTTAATTACTTAATTACACTAACCATTGGGAATGCATGTGCTAATTGAAAGTACCTCTATAACCTGCAGGATTATGTCCTCTGAGAACTAGTTTCTGAGTTCTTATTTAGATCTTGTCTGACATGCAGTTTTGACAAAATCATAAAATGAAGCACAAAAAATAATGACTGATCTTTAGAACTTGGATTGCACAGCAGAAAGAAAGCAAAAAACAGACACTATTACAAATTGTACTTAGATTTTTGATTTTTTTTCTTTGTAGCTGTCACTAATTGCACAACTACCATGCTTCTTTTTTGCTTGTTTGTATTACTACAGTTCATTGTAGTGCAGTAACTGTAATGTCCAATGAAATGAAATTGTTCAGCAGTCAGTCTGGAAACATTTGAAACTCAAAGTGATGAAAAATAATTATATTGTGTAGGCTTTGCTGTTTGCATTTTTCTTCTGAGCTTAAATTGCCATTATAAATGTATGCTACTAACATATCTAGGTAAAATAGATAAAGAATGTTGACAGCGAAATTGGAGATGCATTAAAAAGCATTTCTTGCATGAGCAATCACTTGTTTGGAGTTAATTGCTTTCCTCTTTTAAAACTGCCAAAAAGTAGCCTGTTTAGTTGTTCAAACTAATTTAGCTAAAATATTGTTTGTATTTGTATATTTGTCATCAACAAAGCAACAGCCTGGGAATTAAAAAATGTAGTACATAAAAGTAATATTTACGAATAAAATATGTTGTATATTCATTTATATAAATGTGTATTTGTAGTTTAAATATTTATGTTTACAGTATACTGTATATATAAAACTGCTTGCCTTTTTATATATGAAAAGGTTTGGTTCTCTCATGACCCTGAATAAGATGGTTTAGAAAATGGACGGATATATATGAAATGTTTAGTGTCACGGATTTAGGAAAGGGCATGCCGTGGAATGGCTAGGTGAGCAGTAGAGACGCTATGTGTAGCGGTAAAAGGGGCAACACAGAGGTTAGCCCAGGCTCAGGTGGTATAGAAACCTATGTCCTCAGGCCACGGATGTGGGGCTACCTGGTACTAGGCGGATTTCACGACATCCGTACACTCAATGCGAAGCCAGGAGCAGATCAGACACAGGAAGTAAATAGGCTACACAACAAGACACACCAGAAAGACATGAATAATCACAGGTAACTAGGAAAAGGAGTGAAGTAGAGCACCCTCACGGTGTACAGGGCATGACAGTACCCCCCCCCTCAAGGGCAGCTCCTGATGCCCAAAAAGATCTCCACAGTACTGGGGGGAGGAAAAACCTCATTTAACTGAAAGGAAACCTCCGGGAGTCCACGGCCGAGAGCTACGCCCTCCTCCGGGGTAAAAAAACCTTTATTGAGTAGAGAAGGGGGAGGGGCGGTCTGGGCTCTGGAGGAGCAAGACAAAAAAACGGACCGAACAGGTAAAAGATCATGCACAACAAAAAATAAACCCCGATGGAACAGGGGAACAAACAACAGATAGGGAGACCAGAGGGCTTGGGAGCCTGGGACAGAGACAGCAACGGGCGTGGGAGCCAAACCTTGGAAAGGTTTTTGCAGCAGATCGGATTAAAAAGCAAATATTGACCCCATGTATATTTCAGCAAGGCCCCTTACAGATGTTCAAAAAACATATTTTCAACAACATATAGTTGATGTTGATGTTTAAAACACAGATAGGCACTTATTTTCTCATTTTTTAAATTCTATTGTTTTAAATTCTCTGTTGTGTTACTATGGAGCATAACTACTTATCATTTCGGTGAACTACAAAAGCTTACTAGTGCCATGGAGAAAAATAAAATCTCATTTATATGAGATACTATTGTGTTTATACGAGAATATTAACCTTACTTACTGTATGTATTATAAGTAATAGAAATAGAAATAGGTCAGTCGGGTAGCTGCATCAACATGCATAGGCTGCAAAGGAACAAGTAATAGGTTTGTTCCACGCTGAAAAGATAAGAAAGGAAACAATGTTTCGGCTGTGGAGCCTTCTTCAGGTGTGAGAAACAGGGCAGACAGCAAAGTTTATATAGCATAGGAGAACAAAAGCTGGGAGAGTGGAGGAAGTGGGAGCAGGGCAGAGACAGAGTGGTGTGAAGTAGAAACCTACAAATGAATATAAGTAATATATTGCATTATACTGTATATGCAATAACATATACAGTACATACAGTAACATACATTTGGAAAGCTGTGTTATAGCTTCTTGCTGCAGAATTCTATCTCATATAAACAAGGTCATTTTGTTTGCTTCATGGAGCTAATAAGCTTCCTTGAGCACTTCTATTGACTGCCACTGGTACACTATGACCAATACATTATTGGGCAATTAAACACCTTGAAATATTTTCTTTTTATGTATTTTTCTTCTAACGAGTTAGGACACGGACAAGCTCTGACGGTCTTGCAATCCCTGCGGGAAATAAAGGAAAATCGAGGAGGCACAGTCATCCTGCCCTGCAGTTTTGAAGACCCAGATGGAAAAGCAGACCCTTCGACAAAGTGTGCGGTCCAGTGGTATAAAGCCAAACATGGGCAGAGCTTGAGTGAAAGCACACAAGTAGCCCTGAGAACACGCCATGCACTTGCTCAGCCAGAGCCATCACTTACGCACCGAGAAGCCTCCCTTGTCATCACGAATCTCACTCTGGAGGATGCTGGGATGTATTACTGCACTGTGAATGTGTGGCAAAGAGGCAATGGGACAGGAGCAGGTACAGAGCTACACATCCATTGTAAGTAACCCCACTACAAACAGATATTTTACTGCGTTAATGTCTTAAATAGTTATTGTTGATGTTTGGACTCCCTTATGGGTTTTAAATGCTCACTTTTTCACATTAAAGACCCCTCCTTTTCGAACATCATGGAAGCTAAATATGTTTCTAGAAATTCTTTTTAAGTGCCTTTTATTTATTATTTTAATCACATTTTAAAATGTATCCAACCCAATTAGACACTGACATGTCTATCACATCTTAAGTGCTTTTAATTTCAAAAGAAATTTAATTATTACTAACATATGCAAGTCATTCTTTTTTCCAAAGCAATGCACATTTACAGCCATTTAACTTGAGAAACCCAATGCAGTTTGCTCAAGGGTACAAGAGCTGTACTCCACCTGAGATTTAAACCCATAACTTACTAAAGTATAGAAACCTACCCACTTCGCCATAGCGCTGCCTGATTTTATCAATTTCCCAGGTGTGTTTTACCATGATAAAGTTTCGTACAATTTTAAACTCTGACACAAAATACATTACTTAATATAAGAGCTATCAGTAGGACCTAGGGGAACACTCTGCTATGAAACTCTTTTAGATGTCACTGCAAGATTAGTACATTATTCACTTCTTCAGATTTGTCATGTAAGAAAAAGAATAAAAGGTAATCATACCTTAATGCGGTACTTCTCTGTCTCTTTTAACTGATATAACAAAAAGCTTTAATTATCTCTAGTTTTGTATAATCTTTAAATTTCAGTTTTAGTTCAAGCCTGTAGCTATTATATATTTGATTTCAAATCTGTACATGCCTTTTGTCTTCCAGTCTAATTTAAAGTGGCACCTCAGTTTTGTAAAAGCAAATCACGTTTATTAACCAATTACAGCATAAAATTGCAACTGACTACTGTATGTATTTTAATACACAGAGTTTTTAAACAGAAGTTCAGGAGGGGTTTAAATTTTAATTTTGCCCAGTTTCACTCTTCAACATATAAATATCTCTCCTCCCTTGCACATCTTTTTGCACCCCTCCCTCCAACCCAACTTCACTCTCTCACTGGCTCCTTAGCTCATTCCTCATGAAGTTAGACACCCAGTCAGTTTTGCACTTAGAGAACATTACAGTTATTACTAATGCCAGGCTACCATTTCCTCAGCCAGGTAAGTTATGTTAATTAAACTTTCAATATGGTATCCTATTCAATGTTTTTGCCACATCGGATTAATTATGATTTGACCAAACCAATGAAATGTAAGAAAATATAAATATATCTAACATTTACAAGGTAAACTCCTTAAAGTATAAACTAACAAATGTATTGTTTTGACAGCTCCACCATCTGCCCCCAAGCTGTTCCTACAAATGCCCTCTAATCCAGCCACAGAAAAATGGAGTCTGGTGTGTCAGACAAAGGGATTCCACCCTTCACATATAATTGTGAGATGGAGTAGAAGCCGGGATCTCCATGGAGGAGTTAATGAGAATCTAGGAAGCAGTGAGAATAGCCCTGTTCATACCGCCTCTCTCAAAAAACACATGGGAGATCACAGCACCTTCTTTGAAAATGGTATTGACGAGGTGCACAGTACTGCAGTTCAGACACTTCATCTGTTTGAAAACAGCAGCAAGGAGGACTATGTAATCAGTCACCTTCAAGTAGCTCATCCTAATATGACTGGAGGAACATACTTGTGTACTATACACCATGTCTCACTGGAAGCCCCTCTCACAGCAGAGTTTAAGTGGGGTGAGTGAACTTACTTTTACCGTAATGCTCACCACACAAGTAAAACTATACAATGGTACCACTCCCTAGAATTATGGTGGCTTTGGGGCACTATGACATTCTGTTCAAAGCAAATTAAATTACAGTATCTTGGAAAGATGATGCAGTGTCTGAACAAATCCATGCTGTTCTTAGATGTCCTGCCTGTATTAATAAAACTGCATTCTTATAATACAATTGTACTGTATATGTAAAGTTAGAAGTGGTAATCATGGAGGATTTTAATTTTCTTCACATAGACTGTGATAAGGCACGTCATCAGTAGAAAATTGAAATGGAAGACCAGGCAAACAATTGCTTCCTTTGTCACAACACCTTATAGAGTAAATACTAGTGTTTATCTCATATTTTTAAACAATCAAGATACAGAGACAAAGATTATGATATGTAAAAAGGAATAGCACAGATATGGACTGACAAAATGAATAGCAATAGTTTGAAGATATTCTGCTTGAAGCACAGATCAGATTCATCTTAAAAGTAAACATATTAAGAAAGCTTGAGTCATACAGTATTGCTTTCATAGCCCAATTAAGCCAAAAAAAGGAGAAACAAAACTTCACAAAATGATTATTTAATAGGATCCACTTTAAAAAGAAGCACGGCAATGTACAAACATGGTCATAGTGAGAGATAGGAAAGATTTTAGAAAGGGAGACTAAAATAATACGTTTAGTTCTATATTATAACATGAAAATAAAGGATTAAGGTGTCTCAGAGATAAAAATGTGAAACTAAAATTAGACAAGGGGAAGTGATTAATATATAATTAAATTTCCACTCGTTTGTTTGGCTAATCGACATCGTGCCGCAGGCCGAACAAAGATTTATATTAAACAGTTTTACTCAGAAGTACTGCAAGTATTTGAAGCACTCATAGACCATTAACTTAACCTTTTTATTTTATGTCTTTAAGATCTTTTCGAAGCACACTTGCCATTTCAAGCAACTGGGTGCTTAAATGTCTTCAAAATCTGTTTTCTGGGTGGATTATTCTGTATATTCTTTGCAGCAGGTAAAGACTAATTTGATTTTTAATTATAATGTTATGTAATATAACAAGGTAATGCTTTTCCCAGACTTTCCAAAAGAGTGCTCCAATATGGAGACTGGGAACACAGTGTAATAGTTGCAATCTTCAGATGACATGTTAAAGAGACCTCCTGACTACTTGGTCATTGAAGATCGCATGGTGCTTTTTTTAAGTAGAGGGGTATAAGGGCCAATGACCTCGTTAGCTTCAACTCTGATCGTGCACAATCTGACCTTCGGTGAGTTTTCCCTTAATTCAATTGGTGGCATAATTATTCATTTCTTTACCTGAGCTATTGTGTGGGGGTTTGTTGGTACGTAATGACTCAAACTTGTAAAGGGGCAGCACTAATTCATCACAGGGGAATTCATCACAGTGATTGCGACAAAAGAATTTTGCATTAATCAAAGGAATGGCTGGGAAGCATTCGTTGCTAAAGCCAGAAATTGCAGCGGGGAAAAGAGACAACAACAACATCAATATGAACATGGTCACACTGGGAAGCTGAAGATGGATGGTGTCGGGAAAAGAAACTGGAAAAGAAGTGCAGACACCTGAGAGATGTTCTGTGAAGCAAGAGAGACAAGGATCAAAGAACTGCGTTTTCAATTTGGCATAAGACAAGGAGACTCCACTCTCCTTCACAGATGATCCACCGTCCAGGCATGAGGAGGTCAGGCTGGGGTGGCTTGCTTTGAAAAGAGACAAAGGATTGGTAAACAAATTGCTGGGAAAGTTGTGAGTGGACTGCTATGACTGGATAGGGAAAAGTGGCACAACGGACCATTGAGAGACTTGCCAGAAAACTACGCTTTCAGGTTTGGTTTCGCTTTCAGATCAGGTACTGTAAATGGACAACTGAACGGAGTTTGGATTGCTTTTAGCAAAGAAAAGATAAGCCACAGAGAGTAACAGGAGAGGTCTGTCTCTGGTGAGAGCAAACGTTACATGCGCTAACGAAACTTTTCTTTGAAAAGGTCTAACTTTCAGTTAGATTTCACTTTTGAATCGGCTGAATTTTTTTTTTTGCTTTCTTGGCTTCTGACTCAGTGGAAGAATCTCGTTATGTTCAAGCAGGTTGAAGAAAAACAGTAGCTACAGAGAGTTTTGGTGAGAACAAATGTGAGAAAAAACCACGCAAGTGAATAAGCAAGAAGTGTTATGCAGTATTTATGTATTGTAGGTAGGCAGAAGTGCACAGGATAACAATTTAATCTCGGCCCAAACATTTGTTTGAAACTCCATTAGTTGGAAGGGGTTTCAGTATAGACCACTGAAGAAAGAATGGATTAGAAACTTAGTAGTAAATGTTTAAACAATTCCATGAAAAATCTGAAAATTTCAATTTGTGGGGACTGAGTTACTTCCAATATTTTGTCAAAATTAGGTCATTTGATATTTGACTTGTGCATTTATGTGCCATTCATCTGCATCCAGTCGTCTTCTTTCACATAAAGACTGACATGGTGAAAGAAAACTGCAGCAGTATGTAAAACATTCAGGAGACCATACAGTGGAAACTATATATTTTTTTATTAATCCTTTCATTGTGTACTTCCTTTCACAGCCCTGAAGTCCTGCTGTGAGAATCGTCTTCAATATTTTGGGTAAGTTCTTTGTACTTAGAAGTATGGACAGTTACAAAATAGGTGTGTAATGAGATAATATGGCAAAAATCAAGTGAACTGCAAAACAGTCCAGACAAATCTGCCAGTGCTTCTTTGGAAGGCTCTGATGTCAAAGATGAGGAGGGAACGAAGAAATCTCTCTTAAGTTGGAATTATATTATAATGTCAAAGGAATGGCTCAGGAAAAAGTCCAAATCGTTTTTATTATGAGGAGGGAAAAGTACAAAGGAGGGAACATTCGTCCAGAAAGAAAATTCAAAACAAATAGTAGGTTTCTGTTGTGCATTTCTGTGTTTTCTGGAAAACAAATATATTGAAAAACTAAATCTACTTACAAACTATAGGGAGTTAATGGGCTCCTTGTTTGTTTAAATGGAACACTTCCTGATGCTATGTTTTCAATCTTTATAAAGTTATTTTACTCAAAATACTTAAACATAGACCTTTAAATGTAGACCTAAGCTGTTCGGAAGGCCAGGCATGCTGAAAAGAATGAGGAGACCCCAGCATCGGGGTTACAGAGCAATATGGTTTTCATTCTATTAATTACTTCACTGAGCCAATCATTTTAAACAAGAAGTCAAATGAGCTATTTCTTTGCTTAAATGAAATGCTCATTGAAATGTTTGTGTAAAAACTGCAGGCCTTTTACCCTTGAGGAGCATTAGTAGGAGTACTAGGAATGTAGAGATCTTCAGCTATTCAAATTTGCAGAAGTCTTCTTAGCTAAATCAGTCAATGACTATCAAATTATTACAGACAGCAGAGGTCACTATAGCAAAAGGACTTCTTTTGGTACGATTGTTTATTTAGCCTCAACATAATATTACTTATTGAACTGGAAGACAAAACATGAAAATAATGTGTGTGTTTTTTCAAGGAAAAAGAATGACTAATTCTCAAAAATAATATATATGAATGATATATACAAACAAACCCAGAATAACATGTCTGTCTAATTTGTCCCTACTAACCAATCCTCCTGGATGTTTTTATCCATAATTCTAATATCCAATTCTCTTTAGTACAGTCCCTAGACTCTTGTGCAGACTCCATTAAGTGTGGTATTGCACTCCCATCTACTGGATGGAATTTTATAGAGACATAACACCCAGTTATTTTCTGTAAATTGACACCTGTGCAAAACCTTTAGAGACAGACCCTATGTATTCTTCCAGGGCTCCAACGTCCCCTTGCCAGATGCGTTTAGTGCATAAGCAATCTGAAATACTGATTTGGCTTTTATTTACTTGGTTTAAGGAATAAGAAAAAGAAGCCTGACAATAATACCATCGGAACCCCTCTTGCTAAGGTGGATTGAGCAAAAGAATTTCTGCAGGAGTGCTAATGGGCTGCATGGGTGAACAGGGATATGTACTGCACAATACCTGTAGTGGTGAATGCTGGGAAAAAGTGGCCATTAGGCATGTTAAGACTTAGTGGGGTATATCATAAGATTGATCCTCACTCCTGAACATTGGTTATAGACTCTATAACAAAGACAGATACATACAGTAGCTGTTAGCACACAATAATAAACTTCCATTCTCCATGTCATGTGGGAGCTCATTCTCTTTTGAACACTGACCTTTAGTTCTCAGGTTTTGCTCTGTTTTACTTTCTACAGAGAAACTATTTTTCATGTCTGTTTGATTGAAAAAAACCCAACATAACATAACTCTCTTAATGATCTTATCATCTGTTACAAAGTTGTACCTTATTTCATGCTGGTAATGTCTGTCTGTTTTTTGTCAAGCTTGTGTTGGACCTTCACCCAATAATAATAAAACTCCAATTGAAATGATAACATACAAGTACGTTTCTTTGAATGTCTTGAATTTACCTGCCTTTCACATCAACCCTAAATGCAGACCAATTGAAAATGCGCCTTCTAAGCTTTTTCTAATTGCATTTTGTTTTCTCCTTAGGTCTTCAAGGAAGTAACTCATGCCATACCGTATGTGTGTGAAAATACAGTATGCAATGCTTCTGGATTTTCTTTTTTTAAATACATATCATTCAATTATTGACTTCTGGTTGAAGACTTACTTTCTTCTGTGTTACTACTGTAGATGGCTATGTATAATTATTGTGTTATGTTTATTTTTTCATGTGGAACAGTGCAACTTACAAAGGTGCATCATCTTTCTCTACTTATAGTTAGTTGAATTTGACTACTCTTTTATTGTAGATTTCTGTTCTACAGTACATATTTGAAATCTTAAAAAATAGTATCACATGAGCTCTGAACCAAAACTGTCAAGACTTTTAAAACCTTTTCTACTATTTAAAATCAATTGATTTGATTTGATTCAATTGATTGATTTGATATGTCTCTTTTTAAAATGCTAGGGTATTATCCACCATCAAAACCTTTATTTTGAATCTGATATTGCCAGTAGCACATGCACCAATGTTTTCCTGTATATTTGCTGTCATTGTCCTTATTGCTTTTGACAGCACCAATTCTCAGTGTTCCAGCAAACATCTCTTCGCTAGCATTTACGAGCACACAATATCAGTGTAATGAAATATCAACTACGGTAGACATGCTATCTTGACAAAATGTTCTTGGCTTGAATTTTGCAAAAAGAAAATGCCTTCTAGTTAATGTTCTGAGGACATATGGTTAACTGAATCAATTTAGTGTGTTTTATTCATTATTCATCAATGTAATAACAGTTTATACAGTATATAGTATGTGTAACCATACTCCTTTTACTTTAACACGCTATTTTTCATTGTGTGCCAACTCTGGACATGGAAAGAAAAATAGAAAAATTAAATTCTCTGCTTCCCCAAGTCTAAAAATCCTGCTTGCCATTATTTTGGAACACCCCGAGTATGTACAGCAGCAATCTAATTAACTGTGCACATATCTTCAGTGCTGGTGTACAGGAATATTGTTGTGTACATAGTATGTTCAGAACAATGTTAAACTCTAAGGAAAAGCTTCAGAAATAATAAAAGCAGTTAGAAAAGAAATAGTACATCATAATTTTACTCCTGAAGACAGATCTTGTGGTGAGTGACATTGAGTGAGTAATTGTCACATCTTTCAACATGATATAAATAGTACTGCATATATTAATACTTTCAACTTAATGGTAGTGTCAAACTTGTGAACCACCACATCTTTTTAATTATGACGAGCTGATCTATCCACACATTTCAGCTATCTCTGTGTAAAACATGCTACACTGTCGGACTGTGTCTGATGCAACTGAGTTCCTGGCAACTGTCGGACTGCTGTTAACTATTGTATAATTTCCTTTAAAGTCAAATTTCTTAAGTGCTAAAGTGTTTTCAACTAGCTGTAAACTGTCTCTGTTCCTGTTTATATTCCTTTAACTCTTTCGCTCTCATGCTAATGTTCTTCTCACGTACGTGTGATGGATTTCTGCATTTCAGTAGGATACTTTGTATCGAATAAAAAGCGATAGAATATCTAGAAAAACAATAACAGAGCAGTATTATTTTATTAATATGAAGTTACTACAACTACAACTTTTTTTTAATTAACTAAACTATTTCTTCTAAAAACTGTAATCTACTACCCCTTCTATTCCATATAATGTCCCTGCTTAAATTTCCCTGAGTTAGAATATAGTCATGTTATGAACCTCACCTATTTGCACAAAGCCTCAGCTTGAACTGTTATAACATCACTGTTATTAATGCAATTCAGTTTGCATTAGAAGAACAGGCGTCTGACTGATAATTCACATCAATTACAATATTTACTGTATCTTACACTGAGGTAGATACCCATCATATCATATCTATTAGATATTATACCAATCTATTCTAGTTACCTCTGTATCAGTTGTTTCTCATAATCGTATTTTTTGCCTTCTCTGGAAAAGCATTAAGCTAAAAGAACTGTTCTACAATAAATAGAATAGAAAAAAATAAATAAAAATACAATAAATATCATCTCCCAGATTCAGTGGTTGAACTAAAAGACCATTGCTAATATTTCAGTAGAGGGTCACGGAATCACATGAATTGTGTGTCTGAGTAGACAAGGGAATATATTGATTACAGCAGAAAAATGCCAAATAGGTTAAGGTTAATAGGTTTTTCACAGTCGTACATACTTCTCTATGTATTCCAAGGAGAGACAATAACTAATGAACAACTTAATAAACAATTAAGTAAATAATTAGAACCTCAGGCTGGAACCAAGATAGAATAATTGGCCTTCAAGGTTGGGATTTTAGATGCCCATGGAAGAAGCAGACAATTTGATATTGCAAATTGTTTACCAACGTATTATCCAGTTTTCAAACAGCACAATGGAGATGTACAGTATAGGGACTATGCAATGTTGTCCTCTGAAATGTATCTCATGTCTGCTACATAAACATACTGTGAAACCAATGGTGCCCACAATAGATCTTGCACTATCTTGAAGATCTGTGCTGCTCTAGTTTGCAACAGTTTGGCCTTACTGACACCAAACAAGTCACAGTGGTAACTGTTGAGCAGCAAACTGGTAATACGCTGACGGTAGCACACAAGATTAAGCACCACTGCTTGCAATTGCAAAGGGTTAATAATATTCTCAAAACTCGGGGTGATGATGTCTGCACCATAAGGCAAGACCCTCACCTTGACAGGTTAAGCAATCAAGGAATCACTTCTGCATTATACAGGCATTTTTGCATTGCAAGCTTCACAGTAGTTGGGATGACTAGGACTAGGACATACAGTAAGACGCTGTTGTAGAAATTCCCAGTGTTAAAAGGCCAACTTTCATAAGCTCTTAAAACAAGTCTATGTAATACACAAAGTTGGGTCATACAGTACAGTTGCAAAACAAAACACTGTCAGACGTATCTTCTATGTATATAATGGTTTATATCACTGACATTTAAATGTTGTTCAAAGTCAGGAGAGTTCATATTATTGTACCAGGGCATACAGTACATACTGTACATTTAACACACAGCACTGTATATGTGTGTATATATGCTATAGTTATGTATATACTTTGTATACAGTACTGCACAATGATAATGATGATCGAGAAGAAATGTTGAGTTCAGAGATGATCTGTTTGCCAGGGCTTTTAAAATGCATATAGATACAGGAACAAACAAGGCTCATTGGACAGCACACAATATATGATCAGACCTAATATCCAAGACCAAATAGTGGTTAGGTTATAACTGACAAGTAATAATTGCCAGTCAGATACTGCCTGCAAAATTGGATGGTAGGCATTAAATCCCATAAATGAAACCCTATAACCTTTAAATACAAAATCTCCAAATTTGGAAAAACGTAAACACTTACAGTACTAAATGTACTGTAATTACTTTTGTTCAGCTAATAAAGGCAGACTGAAAATAATAATGGATGGTTGTTGACAAGAGAGACTTGGAATTCAAAACACACCATTTTCAAAAAACACTGCTTCAGTTTTAAATTAAGATTCACACAATAGCGCAAAAGTTCCTCACAAAACTTTCCTAGATCCGTAGCGATATTTTTTGTCAGCCAGGTCTGTGCTCATTTTGTTTTCTAAATAGCAAACATACTGTAATAAATGGTACTAAATAGCATGTACAGTATCTTCTCATCATTGATATTAAGTATGTTCCGATGTTCATAGCTAGAAAAATGTTAAGACCTATAAAAAACAGAGAGAATAAAATGTTCCGAAAGCCTTTCTAGAACTTTGAAAACAGTGTCACATAAGGTCAAAGATTTCATTATAATGATTTATTTTTGGGTTCAGTAAATATTTATCTCAAATTCTGTGCTCCAGTTCATTTAATTTAAGTTAATTAATTGTAATTAATTTAGTATCTATATTTTAAAATTAGCATATGTATTTTCAACATATGTTTTGTGACTTGTGGTTACATTTACAAGTAAAAACAAATATTTGCTGAGCTGGTGACAATTCTCAATTCAGTGACCAGTCCAGATCCTGGATTGCCACAGCTCTGATGGCCCTATAGGCCTGCTTTAAAGGGTCAGTAAACAGATATCTACTGTATGCTTCTGATTAACGTCTAACTAAGCAAATTTGTATCCAATTCAGAGCTCAGCTGGAAAGAAACCCTGAGGCTGGTTACTGCTATTTTGGAAGAATTTAGAGCAGCTGTAACAAAGGACACATTCTTGGAAGGATTTAATCTCTTTCTGACTCATTTATCCAGCTAATTTCCAGAATATCTTGAGTGAATTCAATATTTCAGAATAGCAGAAAAACTGCTAAGCTAAGACCAGGAAACATGTTACATGTTACAGATTTTTTTTGTTTTTTTTTGTAACCCACCTCCACCGCCCCAACTTTGGAGGACTTCCTTAATTTTTATTTTTCACTCTCTCATTTTGTTCTAATTAGACAATAAAATAAATTACATTCACAAAAAAATACATTAAAAAATTAATTATTAGTAATGAATGACATCCAGTGCCATTCAAGTACTGTATATCTCTAATGGGCCCCAAACATTCAAATACTCATTAAGTTTCCCATGTAAATTTTATTAAATATTTTCAACTTGTGATACAGTCTCTTTAATCCATTCTTTGTACGACAGTCCTGTACTGTCCACCCATTTTTGCAATATTATTTTTTTAGAAATAATACATGGAGTCAAAAAAGTATTTTTATATTGAATTGCTACTTTAACCTTTGATAAATTATAGTTTTGATAAATGTTACAGATGTTTGAATGAGATACTGTAATAAGTCAGTTAGAGTTCAACTGTTTTTTTTAATTGATTAGAAGCTGATGTTTTTAGTTTTTAAGGTTTTAGGCTGGATAAGTATGTTTGCTCTCAGATTGGTGCTTGTCTTTAAGAATGTGATAAAAAACGAGCAGAATTATTTGTTATGACCACCCAAGTTAATGGGGAAAACTGAATTATTTTGTATTGCAACCAGGTCATAGTGTTTTAAAGAGATGCATGAAACTGATTTGATTGTAATATACCTGGGATTGCCTATGCACTGCTGACTTAATGGCTCAGTTTATGTCATTAGGTGATGGGTTAGTTCAGTGTGGTGAATGGTACTGCCAAATGTTTTGTTTTTTGAAGGGAGGTTCCCTTTTGTTCTAGCAACAAGCAACAGGGAGAGTAACGAGATAGATCTCTTTGTTCTCGAGCTTCTCTGGAAAACTGCAGTAGGAGGATGAACTTTAAACTGTTTTACCACAAGGATGATGATAAAAATACAGTATGTTCCTCATTAGCATTTAATATACATCCTTGAACTTTGAAAAGTGTTTTTGTCCAAACATATTTTTATACAGCTAAATGTGTATGCATGAGGAATGTGCAGATTTGTGTATTACTAACATAACTAGAAAATTAGTTAATTTGTTAAAATGTAAAATAGAAAAAAATATCTTAGAATTTCACTCTGACAAGACAACTCAAATGGAAAGTAATTAAAACATACCCAGGACTTTGATAATCATTCCTAAATTATAAATGTCTTACACATCAATTGTTCGTAATTTTAAATGCATGATGTGAAAAGTCTCATCATGAACCATTGCAGTCCATTCGTTTAAGCACATTTTATTTCAATCTAAAAATGTCGATTGTATCATAAATAATGTTTGATTTTTAAAGAGAGGTTTCTGTTTGGACCACAGGAAAGTGAATTCAGTTGCAATGTGTTAGCCAAAAAAACGTATTACAAATGCAGGGCTGAAATCAGGAAGAAGCTTATGATTATGTTGTTAAAAAAGAGCAAAACGAGACATATTGAAGTAAAGAGATCTTGTGAAATTGAACATTTTCGTTGTTCTATTGTGCTGGAAAACATAAGAATGATTACAAAAAAGAGGCAGCCACTGGAGACATCTAAACTGTCTGGTAATTAGTGGTTAAATGATCCAAGAAAATCATACAGTCTTTTGTTAAAAGATTATCAACTTCAACAACTTGGCCGGTTAACATGAACCATACCCCCACATCTGTTTAGGTAAAGACGTTTCTCCTGTTTTCTGTTTTAAAAGCACTGAGGGACTGTATTTCTGGTTAAAAAAAATGTATCTGCAGTTTATCACGTTTCGCAGGTATGTGAGACTAAAACTCTAGGAATTACACATCACTCAGGGAAGCCTGGTTGATGTTGCAACTGTGAGAAAAAGCGGATCTTAAATTCGATTTTAGTTGAGAAACTCTTTCATCTCAAAGTTCTCAGGCTTTACACCATAATAAGCAGCAGCTTTCTGAGGAAGAATGATTACCACAAAATCGAATGTCTAGGTCAGAGAAATAGAACCGTGCGTAAGAATTATGTGTCACCTAACCTCAGAAAAGCAACTTCGGTTCTCTGGAAACCAAATATTTGAGAATGTATTGTTTGTGAACAGAATATTAAAAAAAGCATCAATTATCTTCTGTAACAACTGCCAACAAATCAATGATGAAGGCAGCCGAAACATTGACTGTATTTTTTGTCTGGTCGTTCTTAGATGTAATTTAAAGAGCAAGCAGCAGTTAGTGGCATCTGAAAATCCAATACTATGTGATTTATCTGATGCAGTTTTTTTCAGTAGGCGACTTGTACTTTAAACCTGTGCATGAAATTCGCAGACTTAACCCAATCAATTCACCTAAACCATTTACTATTACTTTCACTATGACTGACTCTTATTCAGAACAAGAAAGACATTAAAATCTAAAATTGCCCTTAATCTAGATTCTCACATTCTCCCAGCACTCAATTGACTAAGCTCTTTCTAAACTCACCAATCATTTTCAGACTGCTACTTTCCACACTTCCTGGGGGAATCTGTCACACTGATTCACATTTTTTCAACCTTCCCCTACATTATCACCACATTTTCATGTTTTCTTTCTACTGTTTTCCCTAGCCCACCACGAAAAACACCAACCTCTCACGATGATGCAGCCCCAAACTCTAAAGACTTCAATACCAAATATGATTAAAAAAAGACTAAAATAAACACATTGGAGATTAGCTTGCTTCAAATAAAGGGAATTCATTCTTTTGCTTGTGATTGTACATATCCTACAAGTGTTTACAACCACTAATAAAATCTTTGGCACTCTGCCCTTGCCACTGAAATCAAATATCCTTGTTTGAATCCCTGCCAGTATATGAGCTATTAAACTGTATAATCCCTTGTAAATTATTTCTGTGTTGAAAACATCTATTTTTTAACAGTAGTAGGCCAATTAGGCAGGAGGTGGAATATGAAAAGTACAAGATAACAGATAATTACTTGTAGAGCTCTTTATGATGGTTTTAATTTCTACTGGGTGAATGCTTTCAAAATCTAGCCCCATGGTCCATGGTCCCTTATTTAAAATTGTATTTGTAAAACATAAACTGTGTGACATTCTCAATGTTCAGTCCAAAGTCACTGTTAAGTATACCCTACTACCACTTGTTCCAATTTGTCCCTGTACGTGGACCATTTGAAGCAAGGCCATCTGGCCCTGGTTCATGAGGTTTGCAATTCTACATTAAAAGTGGGTGACTAGAAAGTGACTAACAGACTCTTTATTTCTTTACCAAGACTATGACTACATCAAAAACACTGAGATATGGTCTATGGTAATCTGGTGTAGGTTCAGCTGAGCTTAAAGCAACCTGGGTCATGTCATCACATGGTTTATTTGGATCAGTGTAACTGCTCCTCCCAATTCTACAGAGTTCCTGCTTTAAGGACACATAAAGAACCTTCAGAAGGGTGGCACAGTGGCATAGTGAAGAGCATTGCTTCCTGACAGCACTGGGGCACCGAGTTCAGTTCTGGACCTGGTGTTATCTGCATGGAGTTTGTACAGTATGTTCTCCCTGTGTTTGAGTTGGTGTCCTCTGCGCACTCCAATTTCCTCCCACAGTCCAAAAGCATACAGTACATGTTAATTGGATTCTGGGGAATTGGCCCTAGTGTGACTGTGGCTGTGTGTCTGTGTGTGCCCTGCAATGTTCTGGTCTCCCATCCAGGGTGTACCCTCCACTGTGTCTTTTGCAGCCAGGATAGGCGCTGTCTTCCCCACAACCCTGAATTTGGCAGAAGTGGTAAGAAAATGGATGGACAAACACATTGCCCTCAGGGATCAGGACTGGGGACCTCTGGACTAGAAGCTTTTCTAGGTCTCTTTATTTTAACAGCACACAATAAACTAATTAACCTATCAATTTCAGCACATCAGCAGTGATATTCAGTCTTTAAGAGTAGAGTTGCAAGGATGATCTGCAGATACAATGGTGTTTCAGAACTAAGCCTGGAAACCTCTATTTTAAATCTTCCTTAATCTCTCAAAAAAGGAAAGACTGGAAACCAGTGAGTTCAAGTGAAGCAGCAATGTAGGGCACACGTTCAGCCGCTGCTTGAGCTTATTGATATTTTTCAGATATTACAGCTTATTGCAGCTCAAAAGCAAACGTGACCTTGACTGTGATAACCACCCATATGCTGCTTAGACCTCCAGGTTTAATAAATAACACGTATGTGTTTACGTTTGTTAATAGAATGAAAGATAGGAACTTTAATTGCTGTTATAAAGCTCATCCTTGTGTAATCCTGTAGCTTTCTGAGGCCATGATGGGAGGCCAACCATAGTTTCTTCCTGTTGAGCTTTTCTAATGAAAGGTTGGAACTTTATAAAGTAACACAGGTACTTTTCTGGCAAAAAACAATAGATTTATATTCAATATAGGACCTACACTATGTTTCAACTGTTTACCTTACCTTTAATCTTTGCTAAGTTCTATTAAATAATTTCAGAGTTCTGATAGGAAAAGTGAGTTTTAGTTACAGTATTATGTTAATGAATTTTCTTTTAAAATGGTTTGCAGAAAGGTATTCATGCCTGCATCTTGTGGCTGTTCACACATTTGTGGTTATTTTCAGCATTTTCATGTGCGATTACATCTCATGCTTTAAAATCCTATTTTAAAGTCCTTGGTTTGCTAATCTAGATTTGGTTTAATCTGTTTAGCTCATTCTGCTACTTGCTGAACTTGCAATTGTCTTTGGATGTCCACTTTTTTTCACAACAATCTCAGTTAAGTATTGCTGTTCTTATCATTATAATTGCACTTACAATCACTTATAATTTATACTATCACCTATAATTGCAGGAAACTTCCAAAGCTAGTCTCAGGAAAATCTTTTTTTCTGAACTCACATGTCATGTACTGTAACATGCATAGCATAAGTAAATGAACGTGTTATCAACAGGGGGTCTACTGTGAATACTGTGAAATACTGTTGATACTGTGAAAGGCACAGTACTAGTTTGTCTCCACTACAGAAAGCAATACGAGGTGCATTGTAGATAGGTAATGGACGATTTGCACCAGATTGCAATCAGAAACAGACGCCTTAAGGTACAGCTTGGCATGCTCAGTCTGTAGAGGCATTGAAGTGTACTGAGGTGCAGGGAGTCTCAGATTGACCATAAGTACAGAAGTACTTGACTGTACACGAGGTACTGACTATCCAGTAGAATGTTTCAGTGCAACATACAGTACTGGTTTTGTTATTGCAAACCAAAGCAATGGAGGCCTTCTAACTCTTCTTTTCTTCGTTGAACTCCTGGGCTGCTTTTAACTCAGAAAGGAAAGCAGGATTAAGAAAGAAGGGTTGAGTGGGACTGACAGCCAGAAGTCGACACACAATATGAAAAAGAGAGGGCTGTGCTCACTCTCAGAAGAGAACAGAAAAGTAACTCTGTTCCTTTTGCTCAGTATAAGATGAGACAAGACTGGTGAATCAGCCTAAACAGTAGTTTAAACAAAAGAGGGGACAACAAAAGTCTAAAGGAACTAAATGCACTCATATTCTGAGGTCTTGCATGTAATGTGTGTATTTTAAAAGGCTGTAGTAGATAAGGGAGAGATAGCTATTTCTTATCACCAAGTAAAAAAAAACTATAAAATGGTGGTGAGGTGGGAGCCAGTACAAACCAAACCCACGCTCAGAGGAAAAAACAAAGTCTGCAAAGCACACTCAGCGAGATGGATTGAGACAGGTGCACAATCTCTTAGATACACGACTGTATGTGAAGACTGGGCTTACTGTCTCCAGAGTTCGAATGGCTGCACTGGTTCAACTCTGACAACCCTGTTCCTTCACTGGCTGGTTTGACTTTGCCTGGCTCTGGACTCATAAAAATCAATGCATACAAGAAAGGAATTTTGTTAATTGTATTTTTTTTTTATTACGTGATGTTGCTTGACAAACAAATGTTCCAGGATTAACTACACAAAAAAATAAGAACTCATATTTGAAAGCAGGTTTTAAGGCTTCACTGTTTCGTTTTCTTGAGCAGTTTATTTTGTTGCCTGGTACAATGTACACATGCCAGCTTAACTGTTTAAGCAAAGCATAAATCAAAATGTAATGAAATAGGAATGTAACATGAAATGTTTATTTATTGCCAAAAGTTTAAAGCAAGAAAATTAAATATTACAACAAGGGATTTTTGGATTTCAATTGAGTTTAAAAATATTGTTATTTCATAAGTGTAACCTATTATTTTTGTACACATAGTCAAATATATTATACAAGTTCAAGTACTGTAGGTAGCTGTGTCAGCATGAGTAGGTTGCAAATAAACAGGTCGAGGGTTATCACCTGTTGGAAAGAAAAGAGACAACGTTTCGTCTCTGTCACCCGAATGTTGTGTCTCTGTTCTTTTCAGCCTGGAGTAAACCTTTACTTGTTCCCCTTTAAATATATTATATATTTAATAACATTCAATGATGGTGCTTTCTAGTTTTTTACTCAATGGTAGGTTATGTTTTAGGTTTGTGATTTATTTTCCATCCTTTGTTAAACTCTGATCTGCTCTTTCAGTAGTAAGTCCTCAACTTTGGCCTGCTCTTTCACTTTCCACCGATACTGCTGTCACAGAAGAGAAATGATGAAACAGTTGTGTCAAGCTCTGACAAGCGTTTTCTCTAGGATGGTGTGTATCCTGGTGTGTATCACCAGCTGTGAAAGTTCTAAAGAAAAGCAAAAGCTAGAAAATTGCCCAAAACGTGAAAAAATAGCAGTATTACTGAAAATCATGTATAATTACCAATTTAATACCAATTAAGTAGTATTAAATATGAATTTGGTGTTTAGTTGTATTTCATGCCATACAGTATACTGTAATAATAGCTAATAATGTTATACTACTGAATGGATTCAGAATAGATACTGAAGCACATCTTTTGATTTGAACTTCTTATTCCGGGTTTTGGATCTGAGGTCAAATTCCCAAGCTGTAACATGGTCAAGTCTATTACTGACCCTGCAACTAAAAAATATTTCAGTCAAACTGGAACAAATTATGCAGCATAGAACAAAAAATAAAAAAACAAATAGTTGTTTTATTGCACACAATAGTAGAAATAGAAGGATACATCTTTTTATGAAATATACATATCTAAATAAGCTATAAATGATTTAAGACAAATCAATTTCCAAACCTTTCCAAGATATGAAATCCAATTAATAAATAGAAAGGATACAAAAAGAACATTTGAAATATGTTTTTCAGCTTAACAAAATAAGTTATAGTTGAAAACAAAAACAGTTGACGTACTAAATGTTATTAAATATAAATACAGTATAAGCAGATAGAAGTTCATCAATGGGTTTTAGTTATATACATTACTTGCAAAGTGGTAACTGAATGCAGTATTTAATTAACTAACACTTACGGTACATGCAATCAACACGTACAGTATATAACAGAGTAGATGGTACTCAGCTGGTAAATCAAGTTAAATTTTTATATGCATTTTGTTAGATTTTGAGATTAAATTTCTGTAGTGTTCGTATGGTCTCTTGTATAAATTTCAAGCACTTTAGGCCATACAGAAGTTTTAAGTTAAAAGACTGTTGATAAGTCAACATTATGAGAGACGTTATTAATCTGTTTCCAGTACAAATAAATATAGCCAGATTTGATTTCATGTATTGCAAATTATGGTGCATGTTTTATAAAATTATGTTGCAACTGAGTTTGGAAAAATAGAGAGAACAACATATTAATACAGATGTATACATTATTGCATTGCTTAACATTAAACCCAAAGCCATCCTTTTCTGAGGAATAATATTTGATTAGCATGGGGCAGATGAACAGATCCGCAGATTTTCAGCAGTTCTCATTAGATGTCTGGACATTGAAGTTATAGTTCTCATTCACAAAAAGTTCCTTCAAAACACTGTAGAAAAAGAACACATTAAGCAAAAGAAAAATCCTGAGGTTTTGTTGCATAATTGTTAAACAGTAGAGTTTAATAATGCCTGTTTATTGTTTAAGACCTTTCTACTCCCCATTCACATTACATAGTAAATCTGACATTTTTACTGAGTGAAATTAAATAAAACAATCTTTGTGAATTGAGATAGCTGCTCACAATAAAAATAGCCTTGCTATGGTATGCTATGGGCCTGCCAGCACATTTATATTGCAAGTATATTTACTTTTTTATTTACATTTTTATTAAATTTTCTTTTTTATATTTACTCTAGACCAGTATTTTTGGAGTAAAACTGTGTAAAAACAGGAAAAGTGCTTCTGACTGTGCCATTCCAACACATAACTTGAGGATGGATGGGAGTCATTCATTTTTTGTACTGCATTCAAATGTGATACGGTATACTTTATCCTTTGTTGCAGCACATTAACATTTAGATATGGATTGAAGACAGGTTGGCTGTTGGATGAGGGGATGTATTCTTGCAAATAAAATGTACAAATAAAGTTCTGAGAATTGGTAATAGGAGGAAACGATTAATCCCCAATTAATGAATAAGCTTAATACATGATATTGTTTTTACCCTGTATTTCTGAATTGCAATAACTGTCCATCAACAAGGAGTATCTAACCTAGGTCACTATAGCATGTACTGTATATCCATAACACAACAAAGTCAGTTTCATGTTTTACAGTAGCAATGACACAGGTTAGATTTCTCCCCAATATGTCAAAAATCTGATACTCAATGGTTTTCAATGGGAGTATGTAACAAGCTGTCCAGATGAACCAGATGCCCTGGATAAATAATGAAAAACCAAATTAGCCAGATGGACATGAACTCTCCCGTCTTCTTTGTAACTGTTATTAAGTTCACAGCAGTTACTTTGAGTCTCTGAGTTCCAGAAGACTGAACACTTGCTTTGCCAGCAAAGGCTAATGCCAGCCAGAACATTTCTTTGTTCTAGCACTGGCACAATCACTAACACAATCTCGCACTGTTTCACCACCCGTCATTGTTTTCAACTTTGGTTAGGAATAAAAGTGAGGTATCTTCCAAGGTCATTTTTGCTACTTTTGCTGCTTTAATGGTACGTCGTTGTTTCTGGCTTCTGGGGCACATTTGAGCTGCCTTCTGAATCTTCTGTAGTTGAACATGAAAGAGGACACAGAGGGTTACAAAAACTGCACAGCCGTAACTTAGTGAAAGTTCTGGAAAAGCACTGGGTGAAGGTCTTCTGGACCGCTGAGGACGAGAAGTAGAAGATGATAGGATCCAAGCAGGCATTGAAGGTACTGAGCAGAAGAGCATCGACCCGCCACTCAGGGCTTCTCCCTTTCACGAACCCAACCACGTGAGAAACGTTGTAGGGCCCGAAACACAGCATAAAAACCACCAGGGTTCCAAGAGCCAGCCCGATGGCTCTTAGCCTCCTTCTCCGACTGATATTGGGCAGGTTGGAGAGGATCCGGATGAAATTAATGTAGCAGAAAGTACAGATGAGAAAAGGGATGCAGAACAACACCAAGCATAATTCTAAGCGCACAGGCAGAAGGATTTTCAGTTGGTCTTCGGTGAAGTTTTCATAACACAAAAGCACGGACCTGTTCGAATCATAATTTTGTGGGGTTTTGGAATGGATTATATACACGATGCTGCAGTGAGCCGTTGATACTACCCAGAAAAATACACTTGCGACAACGGCATAGATGGGCTTCCTGTTAACTTTGTACTTTATGGGGTAGGCCACACCCAGGTACCTCTCAACGCTGACTGCTGTCAGAACAAAAGTGCTGATGTAGATGGTGGAGTAGAATATGAATCCTGACAAAGGGCAGAGGAAATAAGGGAGCTTCCATTCCATATTATTGGTTGCCTCATACATCCGGAAGGGCAGGAAAATGAGGAAGATGAGGTCTGAGACAGTCAAGTTCAGCAACAGAATATCAATGGGAGCGGGGTTCCTGCGAACTTTCAGGCTGAAAGTATATAAGGCAAGAATGTTGGAGGGCAGTCCTGTCAGGAAAGTGATGATGTAGACAAACAGGACAAAACTTTCATGAGCTCCTATTGACATCTTGTCAGCAGATGTTGTCGTTGCTCTCTTCCAATGTGGCTACTGAAAGACTGCAAAAAGGAAATAATAATAAAAACATTACTACAACATATTGGTACTGTCTGTAAGAAGAGAACGAGAAAAAAAGGATGGTACATTATTAACTAATAAGATTGATGATTTTAGCTGTTTTTATAAGGGAATCTGATGAGCTTTTGGATAAGAGAAAATTTTAAGGCATTCAGAGCACAGAGCTTATGGAATTGAACTGCTAGCCTAAAGTTAATTCTGCTTCATAACACGAGACATGGTTTTAAGCTCCCTCTAGTGTATTCCAGTTTAAAAGCAAAGATAGAGTTTGGCAGGGATAGAGTTCAATTTTTCTATTCAAGTAGTTGAATAGAAAACTGGAAAACAAATTTGCAAACCATTATGTATTTTCTATAGCATATAGAAACAAAGCTCTGCATAGATTCTTGACAGACTGTAGCCATTGTTCTAACCAGGAAAACATAAAAGAATACAATATATTTAAATAAGGGATATTTAATCAGTGCCCAAATTGTAATATTACTTAATTTCCAGTTTTATAGAGGTATTCATCAATTACATGCATTCATGTAATGTGCAATGACATGTTACCCAATATTTTTATGCAGCTGTCAGGGATTATACATCAGGTTTCTTCTGGCACAAATATACTACTAAGAGCCATGACATTTTAATATGATATTCAGCATAAATACTGATACAAATATTGTACATAATACTCACATAAACACTGAGAGGCAGTAAAAAACAACAAATGGACTAATATACTGTATTTATTGTGCTTTAAAATCTCTCTCTTTGTCTATACTTTACATTATGTATTTAACAAGATTGAACTTTGTAAAATAGAAAAGAACGAGGAAATATATATACCTAGTTTAACTTTAAAAAACAGGATGTTTTGGAAAAACACACTCATTATATTTTGTTCAAAAGCATTTTTAAATAAGCATATTTCATTATATATAATAATGTCTATTTTTAAAACTGTGTGTAGTAAAAAAAAAATCAACATTTATCTAACAGAAAGCTGGCCTGGAATATACTGTCTAATTTTAAAAGGTGATGAACAAAACTGTAATACAATTATGACTATTTAATTGTGTGTTTATTTGGAATGATGTAAGCCAGGGACTCATCTTTCTTATGGTTGTGTGGCCAGTTTTGTGTTTTCCTAGGTATTACTAACCATTATCATGATGTTAAATTTCTTTTTGTAAGTCTCTTTAATGTAGAAAAAATCATTTCATGAAGAAAAATAATGGCAATAAAACAACTAAATGCTATACATACAAGTAACAAACAATAAAATGACTTAAAATCCCAACTTCAAAATTAGTATGGATTTTCAGTTTTCCGGGTGCCAGCAGCATCACTGCCCTTTTAATCTTTTGGAAGAGAACTCCAGCAAGCAAACCGCACAACTTCCAGATTATTATTGGACACACAACAAATCAGAATCCAGAGATCAAAGTCTGACTGGAGAAGCATATCCTTAGAGATGATCACAGAAGTAATCTGGTGCTAAACTGTTCAGATCCGTAAATGAATGGTAGGAGTAGAATTAGCAATATGACACTGAACTCCGCAGGGAGTCGATGCACAGATGCTAAGACTGGTGTTATATGTTCAGAAGGTTTACGATTAAAAGTGGATTTGATCTCTGCAATATTCTCTTCTCCTCCTTTGGGCTCTTTTATCTTTAGTTAGTTGAACACAGTTTGACAAAGCCTTGTTTTTGACCTACAGGCAATCCAAAGTATCTTTTGAAAAAAAGTACAGGAGGACAGGAGGCATGACGGTGCTGCCTTTATATATATATATTCACAGTAAGGATGTTGTAACTATTGTCCTGTAAATATTGACCTATAGATCTGAAATCTTTGTTTGCTAATTTTCATGTCCACCAGCTTCACTCATAATCTTCTGAAACCATTGTTGGCTTTGGACAGATTGCTGATCATTTCCTTATCATAGGTATATAACTGTAAGAATACAATACATCAAGTCATTGCAAAAGGTACATTATTCTCGTAAGGCAATTCACTCTTATTGGTTACATCTCTAGTTATTTTAATCTTTGCATTATCTTTGCAAGTGATATAAATGTTGTTAGTTGCATCTGTGAAAACTGGTCTTCATCCACTTTAATATTGAAAGTGCATTTAGAGGTATTGTGTCTCACACTAATTCTGATCAGCTTTGTTAAGAGTTACTGCTTTGACTTCTCTCTCTGTTCTTTAAATTGTAGTTTTCTTGTTACTGCTCTAATTAGCACAGCTTCATACCTTTGGTAGCTGATAGCTTCTGGACTTGTTCTCAGTCATGGAGTTTTGTGTTTTGGGTGCCCATCAATCTCTTCTGGCTTTACTGACACACTGACTTAGCTGAAGTCTAACTTTGATCGTCGCTTCCTGCTGTTTTTCATTATCAGACTTGCATCTCTGTTTCCTGTGCTTTTTATACTAAGGTTTGTTTTTCTGATTACTCAGCTTTGTCTCTGGCTTTCTTAAATATAACAGTTACTGCTGTACAGTGTTCCATCAGTACTCACTGTGACAATTCCAAACTGCTAGAATTTCTAGCAGAATTTCTAATTAAGTAATTGTGATACTGCCTTTTTTAGTTTTCACTGGAATGTACAATGTAACACATTTATTATTAAGTAATACATAATCATATATCCTCCTTTTTTATACATACTGTATGCTCTAGTTTCCCATGCAGGTATAAATCATTTTTTTAATTTAGAGATAATTCTGGTACTCATGTGTTGGTTTTTCATTTTAACTAGAAATTAATAATATACCTCATGTTTGATTCTGTGGCTCTGGTCATCTTAAAACCACCGAATAGAAAATATCATGCTCACGTCTGCTACAAATGAGATCCTATCCAGCAAAAGTCTCATTGTGATGCAAAGGCAAAACACTCACTTAATGAGCTTCCTATTGGTACAGGATATGTTGCGGTTTTCTTTCATATCTATTAGTACAGAAACTAAAATATATTTACTTATCAGGCTTCTGATACACACAATCAAATGCAACATACTGTGAATAGTGTTAGTTTTGATCACTGTAGTGAGTGAAACGTTTCCCATACAGTATGTGCATCGATGGTGTTTTTAGCCCCTTGGTATGAATTGTATTTTTTTTAATGTTTCTTCTTTATGAAGGTAAGGATAAAGAGCCATTTGTTACCCAGTCAAAATGCTGTTTTATTTCACAAATGAAATGCCACAGGAAGTTACATTGACGGATGTGGCAGGTCAACTCTAAACAGATCTGCTGAAGTGCTTCAATTGTATGATGTCAGCACATAGTGTTTTATAAGTCACTACAAGGCAAACGTCTTTTGGATTTTTTTTTTATATTGATTGATGGGACATCATCATTAACAGTTTATGTTGTTTAAAAGCAATATTCTGTTAGGTAGATGTATCTATCCATTTTCAAACTGCTTTATCCAGTCATGGGAAAGCTGGAGTCTTTTCAACACAAGCAGTGGGTGCAAAGTAGGGTACACCCTGGACAGGACTCCAGTCCATTGCAAGACACTCTCAGTCACAGACATACATTCCACTCACACCAGGGCCAATTGTCCCAGAATCCAATTAACCTACAGTACCAGTATTACTTTGGACTATGGGGGGACACCGGAGCCCCTGGGAGGAAATCCATACCAACATGTGGAGACAGCCATAACACACAGATAGCACCCCAAGTCCCCAGCTCTGAGAGTTAGAAATGGTATCTACTATGCTGCCTGGAGTGCTCGTCATTTTGTATTATTCTAATAATATAGAAATAATATAATTTAAGTCAGGAGAGAAATAAACTGAAAACAAAATTTAGAATATGTTCAATGCACAGTTACACACAAACATCTTCCTCTTCAACTTTCCTTCAGGCTTTCTGTCAACATATAGTTTGTATATCCCTGTCTTGACTGTTGGCTATTTTCTGGTACTATCCATGCAAGTTGACAGCTAAAGCACTTGTTCATGAAGAGAGTAGCATTTTAGCACAATACTTGCAGTGCTTGGAATGTGAATTTCACACCAAGCTCTTTCTGAATGTGTGATCATCCATCCTCTTTTTATGATGTCATTTCACTACAAAGAGTAGTCTTTGTCTATGGTCTCAGCTGAGCCATAGACTGCATTGAGTAGACAAGATGATGAAGTGAATGGACACTCTAAACAAAACCAAACGAAATTTCCAACTTTATAAAAGTTAAAAAAACATTGTCGTTTTAAATCTGCAGAATTAGCATTCTCAATGGTCCAGATTTTCCTTATTTTAGCCTGGGTCATGTCACTTGACAACACTAGTTACTATTCTGCTGCTGGAACCTTGTATCAGAAATTGATCATGATAAAACAGTACAAGATTCTGGAAGAGTGTAATTGTGGAAAAGTACAAATCTCAATGCAATGCATAGTATGTAAAATACTATGCCTTGATATGGCATGCAGAAAGGCAGGCACAGTGATGAATGGGCTACTACAAAAGCTTCTTTCATTTGTATTGGAGCCCAAAACTATTACTCTGCTCTTTAAAATGTATCCCCTTAATCATAGAAAAAGACAGCGACAGCAAAGTCACTACTGGTGTGCACCATGACAAAGAAGGACATTTGCAACCTATTTTGTATAAGGACGTTTTAATCACCTTATACTGAACATAAAGCTCAATGACAGATTCACAAGGATGGTTTTATGTTTGCAATATCAATACTATCAAACTGTGTCTGGTTTAGCTTGTGCACATACAATTGCACCACAAGACACAATAAAAGTGTTACTGATTTGTTCTTCTTGAAGTAAAGTAAAATCTAATTCAGTCAATTAAGAAGACAATTTAAAAGCGGACATGGGGAAAAACGAGCATTGAAAACATGTAATGGGATGGATTACTCGTTTTCCTTCAGTCCACTGAAAGTGTCCCACAGACCTCATAGTCTATTGCTATCCTTTAAACATAGTGCATACAGTATACCTTATACAGTATGTGCAAGTTTCAACTAGAATGCTTTTGATTTTAACATCTGATCAATGAACTTAAAGAACTAAATGAATACTGAAAAATGAAGGTAATGCATAAGGAATCTGTGCAGATAATCCTTTCTGGGTGTAAACCAGAAACATACTGTAATTATAATATTCCCTTACTTTTTGGATTCATAAGGGATTATGAAGAGAGTGCTAATGAAAAGGCTATGAAAAGCCTATTACAATGATTTACATTAATCTCAGAAATGGAATGTATGGGTTCTGATTTCGCTGATATAATAATGATACACCTTATTTGCATTTAAGTACTTTTATGGACTCTGATCCTGGTCTGCAATACATGAGCCTGTGGCTGCATCTCAAAAATAGTAGATCTGTGTTCAGGTCTTTGATTGTGTGTACAGTATATAACATTTTACCTCTGACTAAATATTGATGGAAGCTGCCTACTACTTTGGCATTTTTAATTCTGAAAGGTATCTTCAGTTTCTATTCATCTCTCTAAGTAGTTTTTGCAGCTTGTTCTTCAGAATCAGATATGGAGTTTGTTACCAGATGTTTTATCTTCTCTAGCTGTTTTTTTTTTAATATGTGTGAAATGGTGATCATGATTACCCCTGGGGTTACAACAAATTTAAAAAGGTGGAAACACATTACTTTGTGCTTATGATTGTTTTCCTTCGTTTCAGAAAACAGAAAATCAAAACTGTATGGCCTACACTTTGGGTTATATCTCATGTCCTGATGCTTTTATTCGTCACTAGTGCGAAGAATGTGTTTGGCCAGGTCAAAGGCAAAACTATCACATGTTTTGAGCCACAAAAATCCCAGTTCTTCACTGTCAACATTTAGAATATTTCTCAGTCTTAGCTTTTCTGCACTACAAGCTTTTCTTTTGTTCCACTGGATCTTACTCTGTGACATATATTCTGTTTACTTTGTGTGGTATGCTGAACTCACTTGAGTTTGTTTCAAATAATCAAGCTTTTTACTTTATGACACTCCCATTATTATTTTCATTACTGGCAACAAATACCAAGTAACCACTGTGAAACCACAGACAAGTTATTTTCTTTATAAAATCAACAAAGCTTTTGTTATTTGTTTGTTTGACATTATTATATTTAATAGCATGAATGCTGCTATGACTACGACAATAACACTTATTTAAATGCATGGAGTTACAGCATGGCTTGCCTGATAAATGTAAGAGCTAAAATATGAACCTGCTTAAAATACCATCCCCCAGTCTCTTGGCCTTTCTCTGTGAGGAGTATAGCTTGAACAGAACAAAGTACAGTATACTGTATGTTCTACAATCCTACTCTTTCAGTAGTGTCACTTTCCGATGAGGTTGTGGTTAAGGTTATCCTATAGTTCAATTCCAATACTTATTCCCCAAATTTTCAGTAAAATTTTCTCTGTTCCCGTTCCTGTTCCCCGTCCGCCGGTTCCGACCCGGCCTTCGTGGTTTTTAATTCTTTGTTCTGATGGATCTCCTGGTTTTGGACTTACTCTTGTGTTTTGGATATTCCCTAAGGACTACTCTTTTGGATTGTTCGCCTCGGCCACACCTCCCCGTGCACCAGCGCACCTTGGACACGCCCCCCTGTCTTCAGCCACGTATTCCTGCATGACGTTTCCCCAGTGTTCCCCCACTTCGTCGGATTGTGTCGTCCGCATAGGGTCCGGAAAGAACTGTTCGTTACACAGGGGAGGTGATAAAAGGTTGTTTCTGACTGTTCGATACCATATTATTCCCTTCCACTGATAGTTAATTCATTTGATTGGAGTGCTCCCTTATTTCTGTATACATGGATACTGGGGAACTATGAACCTTTACCTACAGTACATGTACAGATAAAACACTGGGGATTTGCAAAAAGTAGAATAAATGATCTAAAACTGTAAAATTTAAAACTACAATCCAAAATACAAGGCCTAGAATATACAGCAACTATTTATTTCTGTAGTAAACAACATTGTTAGAGAAAGATCATGTGTCCACCTGTAAAAACTCTAGTCAGATTACAAAATGCACAAGGACTACACAATGTAATGAAGAAAACAAAGCAATACTTTTGAAATTCTAAAAAACAACTACATTGCTTTTGATGTCTAATCCTTAAGTAAACAGTAACTGTTGAGAATTCCAAGAACAGAGAATTACATCTGGTGGTTTTATGAACTGAACCCATGCACCTTCTTTGAGTGCAGCAATAAAGTCAAATATTTCCAGGCTTGATATCCTGTCAACGAGCAGTATGGGTGTTGCTGTCTTAGTTTTCTTAAAAATTTTTCTTCATCCCCCATCTTTCAGAGGACGAGAACTGAGCACCACCAACATATTACTCATCTGCTGTCTCCATGCCCTGTTCTTGGAACCACATCTTTTATCACAAGAATTCACAGATAGAGCCATATTAAAATCACC